ATGCTATCAGTCCTGTTCTGGATTGTCATCTTCCCTACTGCTATAACATAGCTTCCTATGTGCCTTTTCTAGAAATATTTTCATGGTAATTGTTCTCAAGAGCTTTCCTATTTTGTGCATCGACTTCACAAATTTAAGTGCATTACTAAATTGGCAGCCTTGTTTCACCATTTTACCACTGAAATGGCCTGATGCAACCGTAAGTAACATTTTCTTTGGTGCTTCTTGCTTGGGGAACTCTTCCGTCTTCTTGCTTCCAGTCAACTTTGATCTTCAAAAATTTAAATGCAATGTCAATCGTCATCTTCGGTCTCCTGAGATTCCTCTTCTTTTATTGGTTTTCCTCCTTAATAAAGATTTCTCTCTGATTCTTTCATACTCAGTAACTCCCTATGTATTACTGGCTTTAACAACTTGCTTGGAGTGAAATGATTACAAAAACATATTCAAAAATCTAAAAGCCCACATCTACGAACGTAAGAGGGACCTACATCGGAACAACCCTTTAAACTTGCTTATAATACACAGAAACAAAACAGGCCATAACTTTAATTTTATAAATACCACCCTAATTAGAAAAGAACATAATTCTTTATGCAGGAAATACTTAGAGGGAGTTCTGATAAATATTTTCCCATCTATAAAGACACTTTATTATATCACCAACTTTTATAAAACACATTTTTTTTTTAAGCTTTTCACCCCAAGCAAGGCGGGAAGCCACTAGGACGCAAGGGGTTACAGAAGATTTGGAGCAAGATCAGATAGGAGTGATAGAGGAAAGGATGAGGAGAAGGATAGTGGATAGATCAAGGCAACTGGAGATGTCGATTGACATTACATTTGAATAGTTGGAGATTATAGCTCTCAGGGAAAATGGAATAAGGAAGGGAGTTCCACAGGCGAGAGGTGCGAGATATGAAGCTAGTGGAGTAGAAGAGATGGCTACCTTTAGGAGTTTCGACAGTGAAAGGGTGAGAGTGGGATGCCAGCCTCGTAGGGCGCTTGAATTCATGAAGTCTGGGAACAAGCGAATGCAGCTCCTCAGAGCAATTACTATGAAAGTATTTGTAAAAAAGACAGAGAGAGGCAACAACGCATCTGTGAGAGAGCGACTGTAGATGAGATGCCAGAACAGGGCCAATTATATTGCGTATCCGCCTCTGGAGCTTAGCAAGAGCCCCGAGGCAAACAGAAGGGTCTCCAGACCATATATAGCAGCAATACTCCATGCAAGGGCGAATTGTTGATTTGTAGATTTGAAGGATCGATTCCAGGGAGAAAAATTTCCTGGCGTGGCACAGGGAGCCAACTTTTCTTGCGGTGGATGAAGCAATTGACTCAATGTGTTTGTTTCATCTCAGGTCAGCAGTCAACGTGAGACCAAGCAGCCGCAGAGAGGTGCTCTCAAGAAGTTGAGCATCAGACATTCTAATGGAGGGCAGGGAAGGATCTCTGTGGTGATTAATAGAGAGCAGTTTTGTTTTTGAGGCATTAAAGTTGACCAGACAATTCCTGCTCCAGTTCACAACCGTACTTAAAGAATCTAAGTTATCCCTACCTTCAACCACAACTAGTGTAATTTAAAATCTTTCACACAAAACATCCCCCCAAATTAACATGCAAACAACCAGCAAATGGATACCACCCCCTCTCACACATGCACACACACAAACGAATACACATTATCATCTGAATCCTGTGTAGGCAAACTGAAATTATGATACACATACACACATGAATTATATACATAAACACTGCTTGACAGGACAGATGCACATGAGGTCTGCTTAAGCAATGTACAACAAACAATACTTTTTAGTAACAGAATTTTCTTTTCTAATGAAGCTTTAATAAAAGCAGAACATTTTAAATTTATATTTATTTCTCCTTATTCTATCATTGTCGGATCCATACATACATATATGTATGTATGTATGTATATATAATAATTTTCCAAGCATAGTTTAGATGTGGCAAAAGGCCAAAAGTAGGAAGCACCCAGTGAGGATCGAACTCACTACTCAGTTGTAATTGTTCTAGTGAGACAAGCTTGGGTAACCATTATACTGCCTTGAGATGCCCAAAAAGTGTTTGTATGTGTATATATATATATATATATATATATATATATATATATATATATATATATATATATATATATATATATATATATATATATATATATATATATAGAGGCAAACATGGATAAACATGCCTGTAATAAGAGTAAGACAGAGGGTCAATGAGGTTTTTCCCATAACACCACATTTAACTACAGCAAAGATAAACTCTATTAGATTGTTTCTTTACACTATATTTTTTTTTTTTTTTTTTTCAACCAGGAATGGTTGGTAAAACATCAGCTAATTGCCAATTGATTCAAACTTTATAAAATAGTTAATAATAAGGATTTCTTTATAATTGGTTCACATATTTTTATAATTTAGTAAATTTTTATAGATCTATGAATAAAAATTGTTTGCATATATATATATATATATATATATATATATATATATATATGCCTAATATATATTTGTTTTTTTTTGTGTGTAACAATTGAGGGGCAGTATGAAAAATGTTGATGACCCACTCGATGATGTGTAAACTTGATCCCATTGCTGTGTACTGATATTTTTATCAGATAGGGTCCATAAACGTTTATTATTAGAATAAAATTTTCATTGTTCTTTGGCAATGAAATCATGCTTTTTCAAAATCTGAAAGTCTATGCAAAAAGTTTCAATAAATTTTTCTGTAGCTTGTGATACAGTTTGTTGTGTCGTTCTATCAGTTGATAGCCACTGTTTGTAGATAAAATCTTCTTTTAAATTTTTATTTAGAATTTCTTCTATATATATAAAACAAAATCCTCCATCAAATTGCTACGAGCAGTCACCCAAGTAGCAGTTAGATGTTGCTTTATTGCATATAACAGCAGCTATGCATTGGTGGTAACTTGTTAAATGATTTTATTCATCTTGTACCACAATCATCAGATTCATATTTTGATGTACTGTGCAAACAAAAATACAGTGTGTTCCAGCACCACCTGAAAGAATACATTTTTTTGGTAAATTTTGAAAAACTAATTCTGTTTGGATTTTTTAAATTAAATAATTGGTATGCCTCTTTCAGGTTACAGAGTACTTTTGTTCCTGAACTCTTTTACCATTCTTTAAGATTTTCCAGGGATCACTGTGCTGACTTCTTCACTCTTATAAAACAGCACAACTTCATCAATTGTCTCTTGTGGGAATCTACATTTTCATAAATTTGGTAGAGATAATATTCCATGTTCATTTACAAATTTTTTGGCTTGTCTTGTCATTTATGTTGTGGTGCCAAATTCCATTTGAATTCTTTGGATATTTCAGCTTTCTGGAAATATTGTTGAAATTTGTACTTTTTGAGACCTCTTCTCACAATCTGAAAACTTTTCTTTTGTTTTAATTTCACTTTCATCAGATCTTTTGTGCTCTTCTACACTGGTAGATTCTTGAGAAATCTTAGCTGAAATCAGATTTTCTTTGATACTGCTCCTTTAATTTTTCCTAAATTTTATTCCTTATAACTGGTTTGTTTTTTAAGTTTTTGATGCTTGATTGGCGAGTCACCAATCATTGACAGTAACTCATTAAGAAGCTTCAATTTATTTTCAATATCTACAAAAATGCTACAAGTCTGTGGCTGGTTTTCAGCTGATGTTGAAGTACATTTAGAAAACTCAGGTAATGCTGTAAATTTATTTGACAACTGGTTTGCTTGTTAAGCTCTTTGTAAATATTAGAAATTATGTCACTTTTCATATAAAAAGTGTCAACAAAACCAAAAAAATAAGATTGTTTATTTTCCACCAAATTGGTCAACATTTAACCACAAATAACAAATTCTGTTTATTTTATGATCATAGTTCTTATGTGAACATTAGAAAGCCCTTTAAATGCTGATTAAAGATATAAATCTTGACCATATTGAGTAATATGTTTGCATATAATGGTAAATACCAAAATCTACCATTTTGAATTTGGCCCAATTCAGTAAAACCCCTGTAACTCAGGCCACAGTCAAAAGTCCACCACAAAATTTTGTACATATCTTGCCATAAAGCAGAAAAATTTGTTATCAAAGGTTAAGGTCAAATTATCTTATCTAACCTTTAAACAAAAAAATAAATAGATTGCCTTTTAGATCCACCCAAGTACTTTAAAATGGCATATAATTTAGCTTTGTGGGTGAAAAAATAACTGAGATATGGATATTTAAACTTTGCCAAAATAGTTTCCAAAATTCACCTTTTTGGCAAGGGTCAAATTTCTGGATCTCTTTGACCTAGAGATGTAAAATAGGTACCATTTCTTTTTCTATCATGAAGCTCTATAAGTGTAACAAATTTGAAAAAAATCTGTGATGAGATTCTTGTTGATTTGCCCAATGTGAAAAAGGAGATTTCTTTATAAAAATTATGGAAAGGATTTCCTGTTTTCTAACTTCTTCAACTTTGGGATTTATGTAAGGACAATCTTTGGGCAACAAATAAGGTGACATGTGTTCATACTATTACTACACATAAAAGGTGGCCAATGTTTCTATATAGTAAATCATGTCAAAAGACAATTTTGAGCTTATTAAATATGGTATATATGAATACATATTATATTTTATACATGTCAATTATTCGTATGAGCATTCTTAGCTTTGTTATTGTAAATTCCACCAAGGAAGTCTACAAAAAAAGTATTAAAAAACATGAGAATGATTCTCAGATTCATTGTTTTAAATTTACCCAGTGAAAATTAATTTTTAATTAATAATAATTTAATAAATTTATCCAATGGAAATTTCATGAAATGCTTTAAAATGTTTCAATTAAGAACAAACAAATTTCAATGAAAATAAAAAAAATCCTTTTAATTAAAAAATAAACATTCTTGAAAGAACTTAAAAATTTGAAAAAAAAAAAAAAGACATTTTGGATTTTGAATTGCAATTTTTACTTAAATTGAAGTATTTTTTGTCTTCTTTTTCTTTTTTCTTGGTTTATTTTCATCTCCAATGGAGCTCAACCGCTTCCTAAAAAAAAAAAAAAGAAAGAAAAGGAATTTATTAATTTCTTGGTAGCTGTAGAAAATTGATCAAGAAAAATTCCAAAATTTTCTTTTTCAAATAATTTTATTTTCCCAAATACTTTCAATCTCATCTGAGAACATCTTCAAGGGTTGAACATCTGGGGATATGTGTGCAAGAAAAATCAGAAAATTTAAAATATTTACGTTATGCAAGGAGGTAACTTATGTGATTTTTTATTTAAATATATTTTTTGTGCAGGATCACCATAAAATTCAAAATATTTACCAGTTATGCAAGAGAACTTATGTGATTTATTTATTTTTTTGAGTATATTTTTTCTTCTTGGTCAATGTTGGGTTTAAAACTTTTTTTAATTGTAGTTTTTAACAATTATAATTTAGTATTTTTTAAATTTTGCTGCTGTAAGCATTTAAGAACTTTGATGCTATACTTCTAGTTGACTTTATTTTTTGATTGCAATTCTCTTACATAAAGTGCTTCTAGAATCTTTAGTTTTTGCTTATTATTATTATCTTGGTGGAGTACTATAGTATTTTTGTCTAACATCTGTCTAAACTGTGAATTTGGACATGAGTGTACTTTTAAATGCTCTGAAATTGAACTATGATTATTTAAGTGAAATGTAAGCCATCTCATCATGGTTGTTGTAGTAAACCCAACATACATATTATTAACATTTTTGTCAGAGATGCAATCTCCCAAAGGACATTCAAATTGATATACAATGTTGGTCTTTTATAAAAAATAGCTGACAGAAAAGAGTTGTTGTGAATGACTAAGTTGGTTGCATTAAATTTAGTATAGAATGTAATTTTATTTTTTACTGAGAACAGTGGGGGATATATTAGTGTTTATGAAACTTTTTTTTCAACCATTAGAATGCATTTGATTACAGTATAGTAGTTTTATATGTTTAGAGTTATTTGAGGAAGTATTATGTTCTTTTTATGTTAATATTTTTAATAGCTCATCTAATTTGCTCATCAACAATTAGCAAAGTCATTATTAATGAGGGTTTTATTTAATATTTTTTAATTCACTATAGAAAATCATTTTTGTTGAAGAATTTGCTTTTGCACAGTTTAAGTTTCATATAATAGCAATTATTTTTAATAGTTAGGAAATTCACTTTTATATTTGAGTGTGCACATGTTTATGCTAGTTTTTAATGAAGTGAGAGATGGATTATTGTGGATATTCTATATGATTATATCAATCGTTTCCCTAACTGGGATGTTGGTGAATAGACATTCAATGTCAATGTTCTTTCCACAACATATTCTACTAAGCTAATAATGTTCTAATGTTTGAAAATGTTCCACCACAATGTATCATTGCTAATAATTCTAGTCATCATAATCTGTTGTCAATAAAAATATTTGATTTTAAAGCTTTTTGCTTATTTTTTATCATTTTTTTAAAGATTTTACATTAATACCACATTTTGCAAATTCTAAAAAAATTGCCGCAGTTCCCTCATTTTTAAGGGGTTCACTGAGGCAATTTTTGTCTGCCCCATCTTAGGCTAAACTTTATAATTTGGAGAAAACATTGAGAATAACACAGCAGATTCCTTTTGGCTGATGGTATGTTAAAGTGTACAAAATCCATTCAGATAAGTTTTCTTATTATATTATTGATTATTCCATGTTTGATGGGATGTGTCAAGGAAGAAAACTCAGTTTCCTTTGACAGGTCAGGGCTACACAAACCAGTATACTTGTATTTGAGAGAGACCTGTTAAACCATTTGTTGCATTTCACAAATGTTAAGTGCACATATTGTTATGTTTACAGTCATGTTTAAGTCTAGATCTCTTCATGACCCTCAGTCATCACCTGCCTTCCCAATGTCTATAAATTGGATTTTATTCTGGTGTATATTTGGGTATCGCATATAGTTATTAAGTACTCCATGAATTGATAGAGTTAAAAGTGCTAGGGCTTGTCATGACCAGCTGATTGATCAAATCGGGCCTCTCTGACCACGCATCTAGTCCAAGTAAGGGCCAAGGTGTATTGTCAATCAGAAGTATCAAGCCCTCAACCACCAGGATCCCGTCCCCAGACATTATGGTCACCACCCACGGCAAACAGGTGACCTCATGGAGGTGTGTGTGTCATACCCCTCTGCAGAGGTGTAGTCAGTGTATTATGAAGCCCCAGCCAACAGGGCTTTTTATTATTTGGTAGTTCTTTTTTGTGATTCTGTGGCAGCCTATAATAAAGGATTGTATTCTTTAAGTCCAAGAGCATTCATTCACCTGAAACCATTTTTAATATGTATATTTACTTACTTATTTTCAAAGTTGGATTTGTTTTGAGGGCATTGTTTTCTTTTGTGTCCCAGTTCTCCACATATATGACAAGCACCTGAGAGTAGAACATATAAAACAATTATTGGTTGTAGAAAAAATTGTTTCTAAAATATAAATAAATAAAATAATTATTATACAATGATTTATTCAAACGCTTGTCCTCATCATGGTTGCTATAGTCCCAACTAGCAGTAGAGCCCAGCATTGCCGGGGATGTAACAGTAAGAGATAGATCAAGTATCGACCATCATAAAGACTAAAAAAATAAAATTGACAAAGATTATTGTTTAAGGTTGACGGACACGACTTTGTCCAACAGTTTAATTAGTTCTTTTTGTTTTGATTTTTTACAAATTGGTCAAACCCAAACTCAAACAAAAAACATTGTTTTCAATTGTTATGAGTACCGATTGAATAGAATTTTATTATAAACAATTGTCTTGTAAATGGAATTTTAAAGCATTCTGAATGTAAAAATAAAGAAAAAAAAGTGTGCAAGACAATAAAAACACTACCTGCAAAAAAAAAAAAGAAAAAAAAAAGAAAAAAAGTGAAGTTTTGTTGAAATCGGTTGAAAAATGTAGGAAATCTGATCCCATATATAAATGAACACACACACACACACACACAAACAACCTGGGTTTTATTAATAAGTATAATTCGATATGAGTTGTCCCCCTTTCATTCTCGCGATGCCTCTTAATTGTGTTTTCAAATTGATTTTGTGCAAAACAATTGTTTTTCAATTTTTGGTGCTGTCAGAACCCCACCACAAGGTAATTTTATGTAGTCCTGTGAATTTTTGTTGAAATCGGTTGAAAAATGTGGGAAATCCGATCCAATATATAAACGTAGACACACACACACACACACACACAACCTGGTTTTTATAATAAGTATGATGTTTCACCTAGAGTACCTTCTGGACATCTTCAAATACTTGCTAACATACTTTAAATTTTTTACTAAGCCCTTTATTTAATTCAGGGGAATAAACAGTTCTCGTTTTGGTGTCTCAGGAATTGAACAAAAGGTTTGGGTTGAAATTCCAAGATGATTATCAAATATAACATGCAACTGAAGAATTTTCTTTTTCTAATCAATTCACCCCAAGCAAGGCAATAATGCCACTAAGATACAAGGGTCAAGTGGAAGTGAAAAAGAATGAAGAGACTTTAGAAAGAACTAGAGACCCAATTCTAAACAGGGGAAAAAGGACCAAACCTCTACTTCATCCTGGGTATGATGATAAACTATGTCCAACAGCAAGGCCTCTGATCAGGAGGTTTTGAGGAGATGTAACCACCTCTTAATTGTTGGTGTTTCCAGCTCCACCCTGAGCCAGGGTGGTAGCACCTGTTAGGATCCCAGCTATGGGCAAATAGTTAACACCCAAACTTGTGTAAAAATAGGTTTTAATACCAGAAATACTTTGTAATAAAATAATTATTACCAGCAATAATTTTTTAGGAAAAATTATTATCAGCAATACTTTAAAAAAAAAAAAAAAAAAAAAATTAAAAAGTACCAACAATACAGTTATACATTCTTTGAAAAAAAAAATCCATATGACCAGCTATAGATTTCTTCAAGGAAAATATTTCCAGAAATAGATTTTTGAAGAAAAACATTACCAACAATAAAAATTTTGTCAGCATTAAATAACCCATTGAGGTTGATATACCGTAAAACAAAACAAAAACAAAACAAACTTCTACTCTTGTTCCAAATAAACTGGGGAGGAGTGTGAAGAAAGATCCTAATTCTTCATCTCAAAAAAGACCCCAATTGTGATTATTATAGCAGCCAAAATGAGGGCAACAGTAACTATAAATCTGTGTGTGCATAAAAGTATTTATCTCAAAAAAAAAAGCAAAAGTAGAAGCAATGCAAAATATCTGACAAATACTTTTAAAAACTATAAAAAGAGTTAATTAATACAAAACAAAATAATAATAATCTAAAACTTGAAGGAGGAATTTACTCTATCACTTGTAATAATTGCCACAAGGAATACACTGGAGAAACCTCAATGAATTTAAATAAAAGATTATATGAACACAAAAATGAACACAAAAGGGATCTTTTACAAGATAACACACTCAATGCATTAATTGTTCACGATCATCAGTCTGATCATAATTTTGATTTAATAAATGTTGCTTTAATTAAAAGAGAAAGCAATTTACTAAGACAAAGTGTATAGAAATTGTTTTAATTGCTAGATCATCCACATTCTTATAACATTCCGCCTTACTTGGTAGGATCTCTTATCACAATGTGAGATACTTAATAATGAAAACAAAAAAAAAAAAAATCAGAAACTGAATATTGGCCAGACTACATTCCCAGAAATACCTAAATAAAAAAATTATTCAAATTTAAAAATTCAGTATTTCAACACCTTCATCATTTGTCAGGGAATAATTATAACTGACTCTTCTCTTCCTACACGTACATCATTCCATCAACAAAAACATTACATTCAAACAATGAAGTCTTTCCAGAAAACAAAATACATTAGACAGAATTTTTAACACATTGTCATTCATTTACCATATATATATATATATATATATATATATATATATATATATATATATATATATATATATATATATATATATATATATAAATCACGTATAAGAGAAATTAAAAAATATCCCATTTATATAGCTATTTCACCTCACCAGAATTACCTTGCAGGATTTGTCCAGACAAAGGTGTTAGGAAATAAAATAAAAAGGTAGTTTTAAAATTTTAAACTTTAAAGAAAGAAGGAGAAGAGAAAGATGAAAAGAAAAAAGGAAAAAAAAAAAAAAAAGAGAAAGGAAGAAAGAATAATATAACTGAGGACACAGCAAATCATCTAGACAAAGCTTAAACCCAGTTTCCAGGTGTGTGGTATGGGGGGGAGGAGTTAGGATTCAGACACAAGTTAAAATAACCTTGACCTATATTTTAAAATATTAATATCTAGTTTCTATAAGGAAATTTACTTTAACAAAATTCAAAATTATATATTTGTATGTATATGTATCTAATCTTTAAAATCATCATAATATTACCAAAGACAGAAAAAGTTGGAATGATTTCACCAACAGTGTCTCTGCTGTATATTAGCTATCCAGTGGCAAATGTACATGAATGACATTGATATCTTTGAAAGCAGTGAGCCTACCAGTGTTTAATGCCACTTGCAATAGAATGGTCATGTAGGGTGATAATATCCCTAAGTAGCGTTTATGATGTAGAATTGGCTGAAGGAAAATATGCTGAAATTGTGGTATAAAGATTGCCTCAAGAACTCATTAAAGAAGGCCAACATCATGCAAAAATAACTGACAACAGTTAATTCTAGATTGTTCATGGGTGAAGGAAAACATGGAGCAAAGGTAAGAGAGACTTTGAACAGAATCGTGTTGTGCAGAAAAATCTCAAAAGAAGTATTCGTAATTAGAGATATATACTAATTTTCCTGAGAATGTTGGCACATAATCTGACATATAATGAATATTCTTGTGTCTGTTGAGAGTAAGGCAGGCCTAAAAAAATCATCAAAAACATCACACACAGAGAGAAGGCATTTATTACAGATTATGAGGTATTTATTTAACAACTAGCTTAAAAGCAACATTTTGTGCCGACTTTTAAGCTAGTTAGGCTCGAAATTAGGTTTTGCTTGTACCTCAACAGGTGTTTTCTCTCTTTCTGTGAGCCATCATGAGGATTTTCCGTGTTCTTTCATCAATTATGCACACAACATTATCAGCCAGGCTGATAATGTGTGCATAAATTGTCTTTATGCCTCCAATTTTGTATTTTGAAAATAGATTAATATATAACTAGCTTAAAAGGGTGTTATGTGATATATTGACAGCTGACAAGTTGCTATTCAGCTTGTCTTTGTATCTAAGCTATGGGCATCCTACATTCCTGTAGTCCTGATTTAACTGGTTGTAGGATCTTGGGTATCCTGCCATCAGACATTCTCAAGACATGACCAGTCCACCATAACTGAGACTGTATGATAAAAGTCTCGATTCCGCCAATATTATACCTGTTAAACAGGTCTACGTTAGATGTCCTATCTTGAAGCTTAACTCCACAGATTGCATGCAGACAGCTTTTGTGGAAAACATCTAGCTGGCGTATATGGTACCTGTATGGAGTCCACGACTCGGAACCATACAAAAAGATGGCAAGTACAACAGCTCTGTAAACCCAAATTTTCATATCCAGTCAAATACCTCACTCATTCTATAAATGATGACGAAGTTTGCCGAAAGCACTGGTAGCCTTAGCAATCCGATGCAATCATGCATGTTTTATATATATATATATATATATATATATATATATATATAAAAATCTCAAAATCTGCCATAATCAGTTTCATGCAATAACAATCATCTGGCTGGCAGTTAATATATGTGTGTGTGTGTGTGTGTGTGTGTGAATGCACTTAATTCAATTAAATAAATGGCAAGAAGAAAGCAATATCCTTTCCTAAAACACAAATACCAGGATACTAAAAATGTTTGTACTTTGTTTTTAGTTACATTGGATTGGGACAAGCAATAAATCCGAGGGCTATTAGTACTTTTACAATGCAATCAAATAAGTATACTAATTGAAATTTAGAGAAAAACAGGTCAAAATTACTAATAATAATTTCTTTTTAATTCCTGATAAACTTACTTTCTGTCTTCTCAAATCCACACCTGTGGTCTGGCAATTCACAATGTTGACAAACTCCACAATGGACTTTACTTGGTTTCACACATTTCTTACATAGATCACAATGAATATACGTATGGCCATCCTATAAAAAACAAATCAATAACAAATGAAAGAAGACTCCATTTTCACTTTCAAGATGAATTGTTTTTTTTCAATTTTGTAAAATAAAATTCAAGCAAAACTGTAACAAATAAAGCTGATATATCCCAAGATTTAAAAGAACTTAGAATTGGTAATCATGCGACTAACTCACATCTACAAATAACTATTTTAAACAAAAATAAATATATTTATTATATTGCAGTATCTATCTTGTTCATATTTATATGAATTAGGCTTTTCTGCTCTCACCACAATTAAGTGCAAAAAGAGAGGAACTCTTCAATGTATTGACGAGGAAATGAATGTTTGCCTATCAAATATACAACCAAACATTGAAGAAGTCGCTAAGACTCATCAGACTCATGTTTCTTATAAACACAAGAATGAATAAACTTAAGATATGTTTCATCTTATATTTTTTTTATTGCATTATTTCTTTTCTGCAATATTTGATTTCATTATAACATATTTTTCCGAAATTTGTATATAGTGCGCCTACAATTATTGGTAGGATTTCAAGTGCACCTTGACTTAAAAAAGTTTGAGAATGTGCTAGGCTATGAGGACCTCCTTAGTAGGCCTAGCATAGAAATAAATACAATATAGGGAGCCACTAATAAAGAAAGAGACAAATGAGAGTAAGTCTTCAACAGCAGCAGCAGTACTAATTAGCAGTCAGATTAGGTTTAAGGCTCCAAGTTCATAGGACAATAACCTAGTGGATTAAAGTGTTGGTCTGTGAATTTGGTGATATAGTCATTGTGAGTTCAATCTCTGGGCCAGGCACTGTGTATTTGGATTCAGTAGAAACAGATGAGCAATAACTGAACCATAACTAGACGTGATATCCCTAGATATGGACAGCAGAACGAGATTAAATAAAGGGTTCTGTTCAGAATTCCTTGTAGGTTACCCAGATTGATATACAGCTAAGGAAGACTGGAGAACATGACGACTGTAATGTTGGGATAACAACAGAGATGAGGACAACGGTCAAAATATAGTGTAAATAATGTATGGGAGTGGGGAGATTTTAAGTGAGTGGGGAGATTTTACATCATCAACCAGTGTTAATTTTTTTTTTTTTGTTCATAAGTTTATAACAAAAAGAAAATTAAGAAAACAGAAAATGATTAAATCCAGTTTCATATGTTTGGGTTTTATTAAAATTCTAAAAATAACTTTGAAAAAGAATGAAAATTGCCCAGGGAATATACAATAACAGTGATGTCAAGGGAAAGAGTGTCCTTTTGACACAAAGTTTTTGCCAGGTATGTTTGTTAAAGTTTGCCAATATTTTAGAATACTTACCCCCCCGCCAGAAAAATAGTAAATATCACAAGGATACATCAATGTTTCTATTGGAATGGAAAAAGCTAAGTATCAAACTTTTAACATGGTTACAATATACTTAAAAAGCTTTCTAAAAAGTAACAATGAGGAGGTATTTTTTTTTTTTTTTTAACTGTGTATAAATTTGTAAATTGCAGTACTACTGAGGTTGATTGCTTTGTTTGTAAAAAAAAAAAAAAAAAAATTTGTGTGAGGATTGATCTGACACTGTATTATGAATATTTCTAATAGGATAACAAAAATCAATGTGTGTCAGGTTAGGCTAAGGCATGTAATATGTAACCCATTATAACCTGCCACATGAATAGGTGGTTGTAGTCTAAACCAGCTCCCCGACTAGCTTTCTTCTGGTGAGGAGGGTGGCATGTTACCCCACAGGATGAAAAACAAGTCCTGACAAAGGGAAAATGAGCCTCTCTTTGGAGCCAATGACCAACATGTAATAGGCACAAACACTCAGACAAAAAAAGAGAAAAAAATAGACCAAACACCAATAGTAACGGCATTCCAACTAGTGCATAAACTGACTAACATCATCAAACTTAGTATGAAGACAACACAAAATGAGAAAAAGGCAGTTAACTGCTGAAAACACCTGAAGAGTGGATTAAACAATTACTAAATATTCATTTATGAAACTGGAGGTGTTGAATACAATATCAATCAGCTAAGTGACAAATTCCATTTATTTGTATTACACACACATATATATATATATATATATATATATATATATATATATATATAAGGTTCTTTTTACTGCCACACCAAGTCAACATTGATTTAAATATAAGGATCATATTTCCCATTTGATTGTTAAAATAGATACAAAAGTATCTAGTTTAAGAAAAAAAAAAAGGGGGGGTAGGCACCTTTCGGACGACACTTCTTCAGAAAAATTATCGTCGGCAGTATAAAACAGAGAAGTTGATAAGAAAAATTATTATCAACAACCGATGTTAAAAGCAATAGATTACCAAGATGTAATATAAGACTAAGATAGGGCTCTCATGCCTTGAATGGAAACCTTCCTAGGGATGATGTCTGGACAAAAACATTCATTGTACTTGAATTTCTGTGAGTGTCCAAGTTGGGTGTTAGGAAGAGCATCCAGCCTTATAAAACAGTGTCTAAAATTATTATCACAACTCTCAGTATGATGTTGACAGGTGTATGTGGAGAGATCCTCAGTCAGGCCAAGACCCACCTTTCTTTGTACAAAATTAATCCTGGTCCTGCCTCAACAAAAAAAAAAAAAAAAAAAAAAAAAAATATGCCTATGATGATTTTGATAATGAGGATTCTGACAAGTGTTATAAAAGTGAGAAAAGGTCAAATAAATGTTAACTTATAAAAATGGTTTCTTATTTTTTTTTTTTTTTAAAAGCAACCTAGCCAACCACAATAGTGCCTGAGATGCTAATCCAATTCAAAAAAGCAAACTATCATTTCTTGTTATTGATAATGATATTGATTCATTTTCTATCCCTAACTTGCTAAGAATTTTGTTCATGTTTTCTTTTGGTATTATTTGAAACTAGTTCTCCATACATTCAGAAGAAATAAAAACTAGCATGTGTATCACATCTTGTAAGCCAGCAAATGTTGAAAATACAAAGCAAACTTTTTCTTTTCCAAAAGCCACAAAACCAATGTCAGCACACAGTCAACAGCAACAACATTACGACTTGTCATGTGTGAGTTTTGTTATAGTTGATTACACAAAGAAACCACACAATGTGAAAGAAGAAAGAGAGAATTTTATTTTCATACAACTTCATGCATTGAGTTTAAAACAAGAGAAAAGCATGGAAAACTGCCGGTTTAAAAAAGAGTATGGTTACTGTGCGGATGGCCGAGACTACCAACTAAAACACAAGATACAATTTTTACCAATATTGCTTGTTTAATTACACTAATATTAAACTTAACAATTACCTTAGAGGAACACTTTTTGCATTTATTACAATGTTTGTTCTCTGGAGCAGAGAAGCGATGACAAACTTTGCAAAACCTGAAAAAGAATTAAACAAAGAAATGAATAAAAATCAGAAATTTAAATGCTTTCTGCAATCAGTACAATAAACTTGCAGAATAAAAATTGTAAAGAAAAATTTTTTTATTGCTTACCTTCGTTGGTAGATGGTGCCTTAGAAAGCAATAAAATGTGATAGATTTTATAGAAATGCCTTTTTCATTCTTTCTATTATCTTTTTTATCAGAGTCTGTCTCAGGTGAGGCATATATAGACTGAGAAGAATACAATATGTAGTTTTAAGATATACTTTATTGTAGAAATCATAATCGTGTATATCTTCTTTTCTGCAAATTCTGTATTGAATTAGTGTAGAATTTTTAACTCAATTTCATAATCTTTCTTTTTTATATTTAATAAATTATAAGGACACTTTTTTTGACACACTAGCTTAAACATCTGTCCTATGGAAAGAGAAGAGTAAGTTGTAATAAAAGATCTCTTAATGTTTTTATCAACAAGAATTCAATCACAGATTATAATTATGTATTTAAATAATTTTGTAATAATACAAATTAATTCAATATTAGTTTCACATACAGAAAGAAATTTTTTCTTCTAAGTTATTTATTTTATTTAAATCTTTTTCAGTTAAATCCAATTAAAATATAGTCTTTTAGATACTTCCACAAATTTTTTCACCTCTGCTTGACTAATTTGTTGTAATGTGAAATGGCAGATGACAACAATGGTTACTACAAACATTATAGGAAATAACATTACCAGGCCTAAATTTATAGAATTAAGTTTTAATATTTTTTTAAATTATTTACTTTATATCTATTAGAAAAGTTATTTTAGAATCTCAGATTACATCTGCTTTCTTTAAATGTAAACACACTGATTTTTTTATTTTTTTTACTACCCTTCAGCAGGATTTTGACAAAGCAGATATAAATTATTTCTACACAAACACAGAAAATTAAAAAAATAACTATATTGACTGAAACATTGCTTATATATTTGCTAATTTTTAAAATATGAATTAAAAATAATACAGAAGAAATATTTATTAAAATATGCTTTTAAAAAATTGTTATGCAAGTTAAAATGTTATTGGTTTTTTTTTTAAACACAATTTTATATATATATATATATATATATATATTATATAAATATATATATATCCGAAAATTTATTTATTTATTTAAAAAAACATATTTTATGTTTAACGTTGTTATTTTATAGATACAAGTATTTAAGCAAATGCTCTGTTTATGATAAACAGTATTAAATAACATTTACCGCCTGAATGTCGAGAAAATTTTCATAGAAAATTTTCGTTTCGAACCTGCATCTTTGACAGGATTCGAACCTGCATCCTTATAATTTACTGGAACCGTCCATGAATATACGCTCTGACGTGCCTTACAAATTAGGCATATAAAGAAGGACAAGTCCGACAATTTATTTAGACATTCAGGCGGAATTTACATAAACAGAGCATTTGCTTATAAACTCCAATTTTCCATGAATCTTTGTTTACATTATACGACATTCATAACTGCTCTAAGCGTAAATCGAATGTAAACAAATGACGTCATATATTAAGAAATGGATGCAAGGTCCGAACAATTTTTTTATTAAAATTTCTCGACATTCAGGCGGTAAATGTTATTTAATACTGTTTATCATAAACAGAGCATTTGCTTAAATACTTGTATCTATAAAATAACAACATTAAACATAAAATATGTCTTTAATATATATATATATATATATGAAAGATTGATAGCAAATTCATTATTTATTTCTGCCTACTGACAAAATACATGATATTTATGTGAATATGTATGATACAATTTTGTGCCTAAATTTCTGAAAAAAGACCAAAAAAAAATGTCCCCATTGTCATTTATGGTCACCAAGATCAAGGCACAGAGACAAAATTTTATGACATGAATTATATTATTTTCACTATTTACATTATTCGGACTATTGTCCTCATCTTTGTCACCATATTTATTACAACGTTTCAGTCATTTTATGCTCCGCCTTCTTCAGGTACTTGGAATGTCAAATTGAACCCTTTATTTCACTCACTGGGGGAGACTGTTCTAGTTCCACGTGCCATGTTTAATGGATGTCAGTTATCAGTTATCTCCTGTTAATTCCCTCTCAAGTTCTCCACTTCCTTAACTGGGTATTGAACTCAAACTTTTTGGGTACTGTCACTGGATCTAACCAACACCTTTATCTACTGTGCCATGTGTCCTTGAGGAAAAAAAGGGTTCAATTCGACATTCCAACCACCTGAACAAATGTTGTAATAAATATGGCAACAAAGATGAGGACAATAGTCAGAATAATGTTAATAGTGTACATAATACCTCATCTCAGAAATATAGACAGATTATATTATTTTATATTTAAATATAATCTTATTCATATTTTTATTCCTGCATTTACTGTGTTTATTTGCTGAGAAGTCTTTAGATTCCTGAGGAGGTGATATTGTATATGAATGGATGACTTTTATGCTCAAATGGATGCTTTTGTAAAATTCTATTTAATTTTCATAATGGGCGTTGAAAAAAAAAAAAAAAAAAAGAAAGAAAAGAAAAGAAAAAAAAAGAAATTTCAATAGCTTCAGTGATAAAGAAAACTAAAATAGGATTTTCAGGTATAGTAAAATTAGTGTTATTCTGGAAATAGTTATATAAAATAAGACTGTCCTTCATTTGCTTCTTAAAGGTAAAAATGGAGATATCCCAGTTTGAATTTTTATAGACAAGGACAATTTTGAAAAAAAAAAAGTTTTAACAATATCAGAACCAAGTTTTAAAAGTAAATGAAAATCCCAACTGCATGTATTTTAATATTTGAAAGTCCTATATATATATATATATATATATATATATATATATATATGTGTGTGTGAAGTTTGTACAGCCTTCCCTCTGTTTGACTTTGATGCATATGTATTCATAGAAATTACATTAACATTAAAAATTGAAATTTATAAAACAGAAAGTTTTCTATTCAACACAATTATTTTTTAACACTTTTTGTTTTTTTCAAAATATAATTTATCAAAGTATCTCTCTACCAGTTTAAAGGTGGTCTCAATTCTGTCTCCTTACTGAATATCTAAAAAATGTGGATATTAGATTTACATTTTGTTTCAGTAAACTAATATGGCAAACATTTTATAGTAAATTATTTACCAGCAGCATTGTTTCTGATCCATTTAAAAAACAAAAAGAAAACAATTATGTTGAAACTTCATCTTTGCACAAACTTGAACCCATCTCTAGCACAATGAGAAGACAACGCCCTCAGGCAGCTGTTCCCCAGTATAATTTTCCTCAGTTGTGACTCTGTCCTTCCAAAGACAGAGATGCAACTGAGAGATAATAAATGTGTTCAAACTACTTTATAGTAGATATTTACTCACCCCCCCCCACAAGGTCAGGTTGTGACACAAGGTCAGTTTAATGTGGGGAGCCCAAGCCCATGCACCCTGGCAGGGAACAAAAATTCAGAAAAACCGTCGGTTTATCTGGTGCAATGGGAGGTACGATTTATTTGTAAAAAATACAAAATTGTGGCACAAGGCCGAAAAGTGGGAGGGGTAAGGCTGGTCTTCACTAACTATCTTATACCTAGCTAATTTGATTCACGACCCATTCAGACATTTAATTTACTCATTCACCATAAGAACTCGTCCGTCATCAATCAATCCTCCTTGCACCATAATACCACATCCACTCTGGGGAGACCTGGCATGTCATAATGATCCTAACACATATGTACAAAAATTCTAAGATGAAAAAATGAGATGGGGGTGGGATTTTAAAATAAAAAGAGGCCGCCTCTTTATTTCAAATATCTGTATTATATATTATTGACTTCTAGGCAATATCAGTTTTCAGGTTTAACTAATTTGCATATTTTTAAAAAAGTTTATTTCATTAATTAAGGTCCTTCATTACTGTTCTTTTATTTGAGGATTTTTTGATTTTCACATCAAAAATAGTTCTGTTTAGGAACATTGTCTTATATAGTGCAGAAAAGTGTTTGAAATTTGCATTTTACTTGGCCTTCAATAAGTTGGCATCTATAATTTGTAAAATTTTCCTTAACTATAACAAGCCTGCCCCCACATCCAACCAATTAATTTCTTCTGTCTTTACAGTCATATTCTTTGAACAAATATATTGAACGTCCACAACCCCTTCAACATTTTCATAGTGAATAATAATCCTATAGAAAACCAACTAAATTTTTCCTAGAAAAATTACCAGGTTATGTTTTTCATTCGTGGAAATACATATATTTTATTTCTGTCAATACCTGTTAAATGTTATTCAGTTTCACCATGTTTCATTTGTTTAAAAACGGCTGAAATTCTAATGTTTAGCTATTTAAATATATAAAAATGTTTTCTTTCATGTTTACAACCAATTTATCATGAATGAAATGTTCATTTAAAATTTTTGTTTCAAAGATTTCAAATAGTGAATATATCTTACTAGGCGAAGCCTGCTAGTAAATAAATAATTTCCACTAATTTTAAAGCAATGTGGTGGAAAGAAAAACTTAAAAGCTTGTATTCAAATAAATTATTTATAATTTTTCAATGTCAAATCTAATTGAACAATTATAACAAGTATTTTTGCAGAGATATAGCATTAACCATTAAAATTGATGTAACTAGCAAATAAAGAAATAATGAAATTATTATGTCACATCAGTCATTGCAAATATGTTGGAAATTCAAAATACAAAATGTATTTGCAGACTCATTTTTGAAAATTTTGAGAAACCAATAACATTTTTGCTCTTGTATATAAAATACTTGTTACAAAACACACTCCTTGCATTTGCCTTAATGAAGTCCATCAGAGGACAAATATGTCAGCTAAGTTTTCCTTTTGTTTTTATTCATATTGTCGTTTTACTCTATCTGAAATTTTTACATACTCATTAGTATAAGATTAAAATAGTTTATTATTGGTGGACATTATCTTAATAAACTGAGTTCATGGTAGACTCTAAAAAATTTCTTAGACGAGGTGTTGATTTCAGTCTGGTGAGGAATGACTGCCAAATATTTAACTCTCCACATTTTATAGGCAGAAGCACACAAATGCACGCTGGGATTTTTTTCTTAGCCAATAAAATAGGCTGGTTCTTGGCTTCACCCAATTTGGTCCTAGCCTGTCAGAATGCTACATTTGTTTGTCTGAACTTGCTTTTTGTGTGTCAACTCAATTCTTAGTTTGTGTACTTTTTTTATTATTTTGCTTTATTGTTGTTTGTTTTATATTATATTTTTTTTTTACACTATTCTTTTCTTTTTCTTGTTATTGCTTACTGCAAGCTTTGTCAATTCTGTTTGTTGGACAATTCTGTTACTTATTTTGCATTTGACTATGGCTACTCACTCCCCACAAAGTAGTAAAGGAAAGCAAAAAGGAAAGAACTAACTATAAATTGTAAAAAGACAGAATGCACGATCGTCAGTAAAAGAGGCAGCCCAAGGTGTGAGCTACATATTGGGGATGTCAAAATCAAGCAAGTAAAGAAATGTAATTGTCTGGATAATAAAAGACAGCAGAAAATTTGGTACAAAAATCCAGAAGTACAGCGGAACAAACTTTTCTCTTTATTGTTGAATTTTTTTAATTCAATCTGCATTAATTTTCTAAGTAAACAATACTGGAAAGAATTATTAGAATTCTAATGTACCACCATCATTTTTTTTTTTATACTCACTCTTTTTAAAGAGAGAAAAAATACATTATGTTCCCTAACGCTAAAAAATAAAAAAAATGTTAACACTCTTCATCAGCCTTACTGAATTGATTGAATAAATGGATTGGTGACCAACTTTAAACAGGGAAATTAAAACACAAAATCTAGAAAAAGTGAAAAAAATCTGAATAATGCTCAGAAATTACCAGAAGCCAGAATCAATTGATGTGATCAACTTACCAATAACCATCTTTAGTCGGCAGGGAAACCAAATGGGGCTTGACATTGGTAAAGATCCTCACAGGAGATCCTGTTTTGGATTTGGCTGCATTGAACACAGAATGATTCATATAAGCAACCTGCAATACAAGAAAGACACATAGTAAACTACAGAGTGTCTCACAAAAATTGACATTATTTAAAATGTGAATATTTGAGTAACCACATGTCCCAGGCAAATGAAATTAAATAGGTTTCATGTTGAACAATAAAAGATTTATTTATCAAAATTCAAACAAGATATTCAACAGGATGTGGATTTTATAACCGATTTCATAAAGCTTCACAAATGTTTCATATGCGCACCACCTGTGACATGACACACTTCAAGTTAGTAGACCAGCTCCTGTCAAACACGCTGTAGCATGTCTTGCGTAACATTCTCCAATGTGATTCTCTGCTTAAGTTCCTCTAGGCTTGAAGGAAGAGGGGGGATATAGACCTGTCCTTTCATATAACCCCATAGGAAAAAAATGTCAAGTCAGGTGAATGTGGTGGCCATTTCAACTGCACATTGTCATTATCACTGGGATGCCTGACCATCTTCCTGGTAGATTCTCACTGAGATAAGTTCACATAGTCAATTTAGTTTTTACACATTTTTTGAGATCATTTAAGCAAAAATTGGCTATGTTATTAGATTAAAAAAAAAAAAAAACTACATTTTTTTTTGGGGGGGGGGTTACCATGGTTTCCATGGTTTGCAGTAACAGACATAACCTGTTAGGTGTTAAGAATCACACTGCAAACCACTGGACCTTCACTCTTCACTTGTTGTAATTAATCAAGGCAGTCTAGCACTTTCACTGCTGCATTTTTATAACATTGTTACCTGGCTGTGCAGGCCCATTTTTAGAAAATTAGAAAATCAATATTTACTGGAAATGGATGTGTGTTTTCAAACAGAATAGCTAAATACAGATAACTTTGTAAAAAGTCAGAGATTGATTTTACATTGCATCAACATTATGAACACTACCCTCACCATTCTAAGACGATGAAAAAGAAAATCAAAGTTCTGATTAATGTTACACCATAATATGTTGGTTCCCACACAACCCATGAGGGTGTCATGGTGATATATCTGCAAGGACCACATGACTCTCTGGTGGGTCATTTTCCAATTTCTTTTCTCTGAGGATTATTGAAAGTGGGATGCTATGATTGATTACTTATGAGATAATGGTACACCAGAACCACATTTCTCCCCACCACTCTTGCCAAATTAAGTATTTTTGATTTTTTTTGCCTATTATTTTGTTTTCTCTATGGAATTTCTATTGCTGGGGGGGGGGTCATTTTTTAAATTTTTTCTGTATCACACATTCAAGTAAATTAAAAGATTGAGTAAACAGAAAATTTAATTCACAAAATATTATGAAATTAAAAAAAAATACTTTACTTACTTAGGAAACCAAAATAATGCCAACAAACCAGTAAAATAAATACAAGAATTCTAATCTAATAGAAATCATATTTCTAGTAAATAAAATTAAGTGTGTTGTGGTGTAATGGATATCCACTCAGCTGTGGGAACTCAGAGAGCCAAGTTTAAATTCCAGTTGAGTTCATTAGATTCATTTACACACACATACCCTCAGGAAAGATATGAATCCATTTCTTCTTCTCCCCCCAGAGCTATGGGTTGAATAGCAGGACAGACTGGGTTCTTTAAGCTTGGTTAGCAACCAGTCTACTGCAGAAAGAAATGTTAACCTACTGTGGGAAAAGAATCTGCCCTGCCAGTCATGTATCGAAAGATACATGATCGCTCAAACGTGTTTCACCTATGGCACTTAACTGACTGAATAAATAAAAAAAATATCATATTCCTAATGTCTGATTTCTTGAAAAAAGAAAAAGTACAAAAGCATATGACTAGGAAAAGTTGAATTGATTCTTATTTTGTCTTTTATTGAAACACTCAAGGCAAAAGGAAGGATTACATTGACATTCAGCACAAAATGGACTCGTTTTTTGTTTTTTTTCATCAGCTTCCTTTACACGCATTGTTTTCCTCATTTTGCTATAACAGGATTTAAGATATAGTGTTGGAACCCTGGGACAACAAGGAAAATGAAGCTTGGGGGTGCCAACATGTTAAGGAACATCTCATGAATGCTAATATACAAAATTTATTTTCAAATATTTTTTTATGAGTGGACCACTCTTCTTAAGTAGTGCCAATGATGTTTAAGCATAAGATTGGGGCTGTTTAAGAACTGAGCCCCAAAAAACTGTATTTAGACAAAGATTTGTTTTCTAGCAATTTCATATCTGAATAGGCAGAAATGAAATGAATACATAATGATGCCTTCATAAATGTCTATCTGAATAGGCAGAAAGACATTTATGAAGGCATCATTTATGTATTCATCATGGCTTTTTCAGCTGTAACAGATCTAAAAGTTACAATTTTTAATTTAGTCATAAAAAAATTGGTCCAAATTATCTTCAGGTCGTTGTATCCCGATAATACATGACAGACATTTTTGGGGATTGATACGATATAGAGATTGCGCAGTGTCTTCAACAATGAACACATACACAAGATGACAACACTATTTACATTCTTAGGACTGTTGTCCTCATCTTTATTGTCATATTCACAATGTTTCGGCCATTGTATGCTCTGACCGTCTTCAGGTGATATATATTAGAATTTTGAACCGATCCCTTTATTTTGTCCACCAGGGTAGATTATTCTAGCTCCATGTGTCATGCCTTTTCTGGATGTCTCAGTTATTTTAAACACGTATTGCCACAAAATTATCAAATGTTCAATATCCCCCACCATCTTCTGCCGAATGCGTCATATATGCCAAAACAACTCCATTAAAATTCAAGATAAAAGTAGGCAATAATAATAATAATGCACCTTCTATTTCACATTCCTTGAAATTTTCCTTCAATTACTTTATATGGAATTTCATATTCAGAATTTTCAAAAACTGTTTACCTTGTTCAAATCAGATTTTAGGAATTAATGGAATAAAAATTTAGCCAAAATTTGTCATAAATATTTATCAGATATAAGCTTACAGACAAATTACAGAAGAAATTCTTAAGAAAACAAATTATAATTCCTTATTATCATACTGAATCAGTGAATAAACTTATACCAAAGCTTTATTGCACTTTACACTGACTACTCATCTACTAACAGATATTACAGGGTGCTTTTTATACCTACTAGATCTTAAGGGGAGGTAACTGATGATTTACACATACATCAAACTATTTCTTTTAAAATCTCAGCTTTTGATGAAGTATGCATCTGGCTGGAAGGAAAGTTCTCATCGTTTGTAGAACAGGAGAACTTCCCTCCAAATCTGATAATTTCCTTACAGTTTCATTCAAAATATGTAATTTTCTTAAATATCCATTTTGAAATTAAAAAAAATTTACAGTATACCACTGCAATTTCATTACAAAATGTTACAAATTGTTTGTCATGTGAATAGTAAATTTTAATTTTTAGTTAAAAAAGGTAAATGTAAGTTTACAGAGGAGATCATTTAAAAAAAAAAAAAAAAAAAGGAAATATAATTATTTAAGTCTCATCCAAAATGGAACGTTTAAAAAAAAAGAAAGAAAAGTAATCTCACAAAACCTGAGGGTCAACCACAAAGAAAGATAAAATGAGGGTTTAATGTCAAAGTTTCTGGAGTGGAGTGTAACTGCAGACTATAACCTAATAAAAACATGACAGCAAGGCTTCAACAGCAACAGCAGTAAAAACCGAAATCCTGGTGAATGCAGTCATGATAAGTAGCAGCAGCACTCATTAGCATGCAAGATAGGATTAAGGCTCCAAGATTTCTGCTCTGAATTGTGCTATTGGATTTAAGTTTTGATTCATGAATTTAGTAACATAGTAATCATGAGACTAATCCCTGGGTTGGAAACTTTAGACCCAGTGGGGTGAGCTATAATGGAGCAGTACTAAATAAGAACAAGATGAAATATCCCTAAACATTGGCAGCAGAACACGAACACTCTACCTCCATAGATTAAATAAACGGTTCAGTTCGAAATTTCCTGTAGATTGTTGTTCTCTTTGAGACATTGGATTTTGCTACCGATGGAATAATTATCAATTCAATAATTTAATTGTAAAGTAGAAATTTTTCATGCAACCTAAGTTTCATTTTGCAAAATTTTAAAGCTAAAAAAAATATAAATAAACAAATTAAAAAAATTCTTACTTTGTAGTCCAACATGAAGAATGATGGAAGAGCTTCTAGAACCTTCTTTTCCATAAAATAAGGTAAGAACATGAAAATTGGCAAAATCGTTCCATTGGCATCTAGCAATGAAAAATAAATTTTTTAAAATTATTAAAACTTACATAAAATTAGTCACTGCATTTATTAATATAAGCAGGCAATATTAATTAAATTTATCATAAGTACAATAATAAATAAATAAAAATATCATTTAAGATTGATACACTCACATATATACATTTTTTATGTATCAGGAACAATTTTAGAGGAAAAATGTCTGATTACTTCTAAAAAATTAAAAAGTTTAATACAAAAAAATAAGTTAAAACTTGAAAGAGGAATTTACTCTATAGCCTGTAATGATTGCTACAAGGAATACATAAGAGAAACCTCAAGGAATTTAAATAAAAGATTATATGAACACAAAATGGATTTTTTATAAAACATACTGAATGCATTAGTTGTTTGCCATAATGAGTCTGACCATAATCTTTATTTAAGAAATGCTAGTCTAATTAAAGTGAAAACAATTCACTAAGATGAAAGTGTTTTAATCACTAGATCATGTACAGTAAATTTATGTCCAGATTCTTATAACATTTCTACTTTCTTGGCAGATCTTCTATTATCACAATGTGCAATACTTATCAACAAAAATGACGGAAACATAAAGAAAAAGAAAAAGAGATTAAATGAAATTGGTTAGATTACAAAAGCCAAAACATATTAAGAAAAAAAATTTTAATTCTCAGTGTCTCTCTTTTGTTCATGTGTATTTGCATCAATGTAAACATAAATTTAGTCTGATGAAGTCCTAAAGGACAAAACATGCCACATAAAAACTTTCCACTTTGTCATATTCCTTTCCCCTAAAATTATTCTTGATATATAAAAAAATTTAAATATTGTTTTCCCATATATATATATATATATATATATATATATATATATATATATATATGGGAAAACGATATTTAATATCTTATATATAAACATTCATTGACCACTTTATTTGAAATATTATATATATATATATATATATATATATACATATACACACACACACTTAGGGAAACTGGTTTAAACTGTTAAAAGAAAAAGAAAAATAGACAGAGGTGAATTTCTCTGTTGATTGGTATTCGTTAGAGCTTCCTCTAAGTACAATGCTTGGCAATTTGAATTTGATTTTTCTTCTCATTTTAGAATGTGATGGTTCTGTTCATAACAGAAATAGTGTCAACTCAATCCCTAATATTTTAAAGTTATCTTCACATTTTTATTTATAAATATCAGGTTTGAAATCTGGTCCACATGATCACTAACTGCATATGACTGATATTGGTAGTTTCCAATTTTTTATTAAACTTTTAGACAAGTTTTTGCAAAACAGTTTTATATATTTTTCTTTTAGGCTTCGGCTTTATTGCAGAAGTGCTTGGAAAAAACAAAGTGGTCAATGAATGTTTATCTTTTGATGTTAAATACACATGAAAGTCATTTGGAAATTAAAAAAGAATGTATGGTTCAGTTCAGCAATATGGGACAAGATACTGAAGCCCTCATTGTGAGTAGGCCATATGGTAACAGTTCAAACATACAGTACCCAGGATGTGTGTTGTCGTTCATTAAGTTTTCTGCTCTACTGAGACAATGTGAATTAAAAATGTCTTCCAATGAGGGAAGTGTGTAGCCAATTATTTTCTGGGCAAAGTCTATAACCCTATAACCCTCCTGTCTGCTGCCAAGCAACTGGAATTTTCAGGAATTATTATAAAATTATTTAAAACAAGCAATTGTTTATGTAACAAAAAATTATTAAAAAAAATTCTTAACAAAAATCATTTTAAAATTGTAAAAATTAGGGTGTAGGGCAGTAGTCTGAAACAAAAATATTGCTTTTTTTAAACATGTACTTAATAAACACAAACAGCTGGAATACATACAAATTCTTTTGTGCCTGACCACACTTTCATTTTTCTCCTATAACTCAAAATTACCAAACCAATTTAATTAAGCTGTGTAGATCCGCGAACCCTTAGTTGGGAACATATCACGAGGGTTCGTTGCCCCTTGCACCTTTCCCCACAGTACGTAATGGTTCTTTTACGCTCTTGAGTTTGAGACTACTAGTGATGGGTAAAATTTGGCATTTTAGATAAATAACTATTATCCCCCTTTAAGATACACATTGATTATCTCCCTTTGTTGGAGCAAATGACTCCGTAATTAAGCTAAAAAAGGAATATCAGTAGTATGCTGTTATCAATGATGTGGAGCATGTTTTAAATCTGACATCGGTATAAAAAAAAAACAATCAAGGTAAAGATAACTATTAAAAAAGCCGGTCACTGATTTGATATTATATTTATACAGGTTAAGTATCCTTAATCCAAAATTCCAAAATCTGAAAGTATTTCAGGGGCTGACATGACATGCTACAAATGGAAAATTTCAGAAAGCAATGGGAAGGTTCCTAGGTGATGTGCATCTGTTGTAAGGGATCTCATTCATCCTGGGTGAGGATTTCCCAGCCCAGCTATGTAGCCTACATTGCCACCAGTTTTTTGTTAGCGATTGTCACAGCAATACCTTCGTTCATGTATTAATTACCAGCTGTTTTGTACCCAGTAAAAATATTTAAAAAATGTCTAAAAGTCTTGCAGATACCCATATGGGTAGTGAAAAGAAAAAATAAGAAAGCATTTATATTTATGAATATCACAAAAAGTCAAACTTTTGGAAAAAAATTAGACAAGGTGTGTAAGTGTGAAGCATTTGAATGAGGAGTTTGGGACATGTTTGAACTGTTACCATATAGTCTACTCACAATGAGGCCTTCAGTATATTGTGCCATATTGCTGAACTGAACCATACATTCTAACTTTTCTAATTTTCAAATGACTTTCATGTGTATTCAATGTCAAAAGATAAACATTCATTGACCACTTTGTTTTTTCCAGGCATTCTGCAATAAAGCCAAAGCCTAAAAGAAGAATATATAAATCTGTTTTGCAAAAACTTGTCTACAAGTTTATTTAAAAATTGGAAACTGACAATATTAGTCGTATGAAGTTAGAGATCATGTGGACCAGATTTCAAATAAAAATAAGGTGGAGATAACTTGAAAACATTAGGGATTGAGTCAACACTATTCCTGTTATGAACAAAACCTTGCCCTTCTAAAATGAGAAGAGAAAGAGAGAAAAAAAAAAAAAAAAAAATCAATATTTTTCAAATTGGCAAACATTGTTCTTAAAGGAGAAATTGTTAAAGTTTTATGATGAAAGTGATTAACAGAAATTAATGAAAATAGAAAAACACTGTTAAGAGCAAAAAATAAAGATCTCAATCATACGTTGATGGAGTGAATTTGTCAGTGTTGGAGTGAACATGTGCTGCTTATATAAAACTACCTTCAGCATATATATTCTAATTTATAATGTAAGGTTGGTTTTGTTAAGTATTCTATTGCTTCTTAAAGTCTCCTTTATGTATGTTCTATGGATAATATTTTTTGAATATGTGATTTCAGTTAAAAATGCCATAAAATTTGAAAAAAATTATAGATGTACATGCATATGTATACTGTATATTTATAATTTTTGAATAAGGTGTTTGTATTGTGATAAAAGTTGTGGATAAACTGTCCCAAGTTCATGTTTGTGCTGTGATTTTGTTCAAGTAATTTCAACCGTCTCAGTCATTTTCAAGAACCATGTGGTGCCTGTGTGGTAGGCAGATTTCCTTTGACCTGAAAGTACTTGAACAAAACCAACAACACAACATGAACTTTGAATAGTTTGTCCACAATTTCAATCACAACACTCAACATCTTATTCAAAAAATTACAATAAAAAAATTAAAGACAGAGCAGGATTAAGATGATATATATATATATATATATAAAACCAAATACATACATATATACATTATCATCCTATATACATACATATATATATTATCATCCAACACACATATTATATATCTTATATATGTATATAGGATGATAATGTATATATGTGCAGATATGTAGAAAAATAGGAAAGAACACATTAGGTAAATAATCTGTTCTTTAGTATTTTTGTTTTTATTTTTAAAAAACAGTGCTCCATACAGAAGTAGAGCTTTCAATTTAATTTTAATAATTATACTGAGTTTTTTTTGGGCTCTCGTTTTTGAAACATGAGAACTCTTACGTAGCAAAGAAAAGAAAAAATCATTATTTTTTAAAATATATATATATATATATATATATATATATATATAGAGAGAGAGAGAGAGGGGGGGGGATAAGGTATATATGTATATAGAATGGTAATGTATGTGTAAACAAAACAGGAAAGAAACTATTTAAACAGAAATGTAAAATTTAAATAAATACCCCAAACAATTGGCAAAATAAAATCCAAAATTGGTGAAAATTATTTCTTTACCACAGACATAAGTAGAAATTAAAATTCCCTTTATTTTATTTTTATCGTTTAACATCATGAAATGAAACAGAGTAAGCAGATATCTGTCATATATTTTGAACTTAATCAAAAGTCAAAACCTATGTGAAATCTCTGATTATTGAATGAAAATTGAACAAAATTTCAGAGCACTGATTGTGTGTGTGTGACAATGTAACATCTTATAAATATGTCTACCCATAAAAAAGAAAAAAAGAAATTACTTTTTGACAGTTCTTGCCAGATGTTAATTATTTTCTGTAGAGAATGTGCCATGACATCAACCAAGCATCCAAATGGTGGGTCCACAACTACAGCCAACTTTTTGGAAGAATCATTGGCAGTAATGAATTCCTTAAATGTTTTTTCCGAGGTTGAATTGTCGAAGAAGTAATGGTTGAACATGTTGTAATAGCAAAACTTATCTGGCGGGTAAACTTGCATCTGAAAGAAAGAAGCAAATAAAAACATTTCTAAAAATGGTCTTCATACGTGTGTATGTGTGTATGTGCATTTTTAAAAAGTAAATAAAAACAATAAAAATTATATTAAATACTTGCTTACAAATGAAAAATATAAAATCAGTTCATTTAGTGTTTGAAAAAAATCTTAATTTTTTTTATTTAAAATTTGCATAAAAATGAAAATAAGTTTTAAATATAATTAGAATTGCCTATTTTCTTTAAAATTATAAATCTAATGAAAATTAGAATGAATTTCTCCATGAATGTCCTTTTATAGTTATTTTTCTTTAAGTGATATCTAATAATTAACAATTAATAATTAATACTAAGAATACAAAAGATAAAAGAAAAACGAAAAATGAAAGAAAAACGAAAAACAAAAAAAGAAAATATGAAAAAGAAAAAATATGAAAAAAGAGAAAATATGAAAAAGAGAAAATATAAAAAGAAAAATATGAAAAAGAAAAATATGAAAAAGAGAAAATATGAAAAAAGAGAAAATATGAAAAAAGAGAAAATATGAAAAAAGAGAAAATATGAAAAAAGAGAAAATATGAAAAAAGAGAAAATATGAAAAAAGAGAAAATATGAAAAAAGAGAAAGGAAAAAAATTAAAATAAAGCAAATGAAAGAACATAAAAAAATGTTAAAAATGTAAAAAATAAAAAAAGTAATGACAATAGTTCTATGCTTTATTCATAACTTTGAAAATTTTTATAATTTGACTCTGCTACGAATAACATTTTTTTTCTATCAAAGGAACTTTATTGGAATGTATCAAGATTAGCCCAACTAAAGAATTAGCTAACACAAAGTTTGTGTCTGATTGAAGATGAATAGGTTGGACCTAAATTACAACTAACCTAGTATTATTGAGAAACTTTTTAGCAAGCAACTCAATACTGATAACCAATAATTAACTAATTAACAATTATAATGAATACTAAGAACCAATTATTTTTATGTACCTGTGATCTAAAAATAGAGTAAATGTAGAAATCAATCAAAAGGTGATTTCAACTTTTAAAAAATACTTATCAATGAAACATAAAATACTTTAGGAAAAAAATAAATTACACAGCTCAAAGAAACAATAATTTTGATAATATTCAAGTTTTATTCTGTAAATTTAAAAAATCCACTGACTACCACAATTCAGTATGTGTTTTTCTGTTTAATGGTGTTTAATAGTCAAATTAAAAACTTGTAGAAATTCTTTAAATATTTTTACTCTCAAAATGTCTAATTTCAACATGAAAAAGACAACATGGAAGACATTTTCAATTATTGTTTGATTTTCTTAAGAGACACAAACAAAAAAAAAAAAATCAGCACAAAAGGTTTTGAAGTTGTCTTCAAATTTTAGCATTTGTGAAATTTAAGATTATAAATATGATAAACTATTAAAATTATTGTCTTTGAACCTTATGATAATAAAAGAATTTTTCTGCTTCATTCATAAATTTTTTTAAAATTTTTTTTATAAAAACTGAAATCACTTTCTGGTCAATAACAAATAAGAAATAACAGATTCCTAGTATTAAGACATAATTGTTAATTAGCTAATTATTTAATATCACTAATAACTCTCTTGCAAGTGAAACCAAAGCAACACAAGTTCAGGTCAAATTTTGTAAATACAAAGAGAAGACAAGCAATCATTCCTGGTTAGGTCACCTTGGAAAGGGGAATATCATCTAATGTTTTTAGAGGTATGAAACTACCAAAATACTCTGTTCAAAAAAATGATACAGCAGCCCAATTCCAAAACGAAATAAATAAATCGCAAGTCCAAACATGAAGATCCAGGGGCGGAAAGAAATGTTGAAATCACGAATCACAGGTTCAACGTCAAAAATCCCAATACACGTAAATTGTCAGAAATCCAACACATAATGTAACCAGTCACAAACCAATGGACATAGATAGAAAAATGAGCTTTCCCCAATTCGTGAAACACTTTTATTGAAGGAACAATTTTTTCATTGGTCGATGGTTGGAGAGGACAAACATATTAGCATATCAGAGAATGCATTTATGGCAACAGCTGCAACTGACTGGTTTCTATTTTGGTTATTTTAACTTTGGCATATCGTTGTTTAAAACCCTTGTTTTTTTGTCATATAGGAAAATCCAACATGGCGCGAAACAAAAAAATCTCATTAACATTTAAACACCTCATAGAATGTAAAGTTCTTAAAGAAAACCTATGCCAAAGTGTTTTCCCTGAATCCTTGATGACTTGGCTGTCCGAAAATGATAATATCAAGATGAAATAATGGAAACTGACCGTGAAAAATACAATTATCTTAACAGGTTTTCGATCAATTAGTAAACTTCTGGACCTTTTATTTATAGGATCCAGACGGCTATTTTTTTGCACATGGAATTATTCACTGGTAATTAATCTTCGATTTGGCTGTGGAAAATGTCACTCGGCGGTTAGCATTAAGAAATTATGCACAATTTTCTGAGAAAAATCCCCTTTTTTTAATGAAAAAATATTCATTTTCGCTTCAAAATAACATCATTCAAAATTCATTCCTTTCTCTTTCATTTGGCATGAACATCATTGAATAAAAAGAAAGGCTAAATGGACCGGCGATGGGAAATTTATATGGCGAAAAAAAAACAATGTTGTCTGCTAAGTGTTGTTGTCATCACCGGTCACGGGTGTTAAAAACAAAACAAAACTTATCAAGCCATTGTTCAAACATAGGTTATATGAAGCCCTAGTAATTGTGAACCCTTTTTATTCACCCTTTGCTTTTATCTGGGAGTGGTGGGTTTTATTAAACTTGTTCTAAGGTTTGCCGTCCGTTTATTGCTTGCTTTTGGCCTTTTTGACCTAGACGTCAAAGTCAATTAGGTTTATTTTCCCCTTATCACTATTTTTAGGAAAAAAAAAAAACTTTTGGTTTCTGGTGGTTAGGAATTGCAGATAAATCTCTTGCCTTTTACTAAAGATTTCCGTGGCCAAATTTTTTAACCCTTCCATAATTGAAAATTAACAATGGATTTTGTCGTTTTTTGAACCCCTTGTTGATTTCCTTCAAAACTCTCAATTTTATGCCTGAAATAGTTTGATTATGATCTAGGCTTTCTGATTTTCAAAAAAAAAAAAAAAAAAAAATGGTTAATTTCCCATTAATGGGGAAATTTTGTTTAGAACAAGAAAAAAATGAAAATTTTTCACTATTTTTTCACATTTTACCCACTGAAAAATTTTTGAGTCATTTACACCAGCTAATTTTACTTTTAAATGAAAGAATATATCTTTTGCTTTCAGAAAATACCTAGTTTCATGGGGTTCAGATCAAAAGTTTCCTTGATATTCGTTTAGGTGATGATAAAACAGTCATTTTAATATTTTACCCCTAAAAAGTATGAAAACCCATATTTTGAGAGAAAATAAGCTGTGACAAAATGACTTTTATATTTTTGTGATGATTTTCACTTGGGAAAGAAAATTTTTACCATAGAAACCTGAATAATTTAAGTTCAGTTACTGTCCTCAAACAGCTGTGACGTGCCCTTTTACTCCACATGAATAAACATCACTGATAAAACTTCCTCAGTGTTAATTCAAAACTAAGGTTGTTTGAGGTTTAAGTAAGGTAGTAGTAATTTAGGATGAACATACTTGCCTCCTATCAGTGATAGGAAATGTGTAGGCTTGTTTTTCGTGTACGTAAGAAATGATAATAAGAGTTACGTCCCTTGACTTTTCTCTGAACGGAAAAAAAAAAATCTTGTTCGTCTAAGGAAGATAACTTGCCGAACTTATTTGCAATCCCCCTCCTCCTACACCTTAATATATATATATATATATATATATATATATATATATCAAAGTATATAATTGGTATATACGGAATGAATTCCAATAACCAACAATTACTATTCTTAAAAGAGTGCTCAATACAAAGTAGAGCAGATATAATTATTTTTTATAAAAAAATTATAACATAAGTATGTTATAAAATCACTACAAAAATAGCCATTTTGTTTCAACACACTCTGTGTCTTATCAAGCGATGATGTTGAAAAGAGTGTGTTGAAACAAAATGGCTATTTTTGTAGTGATTTTATAACATACTTATGTTATAATTTTTATAAAAATATATATATATATATATATATATATATATATATATATATATATATATATATATATATATCTGTTCAATTCCCTTTGGAAAGAAAAGTGAATAAAAAAAAATCTTACTTTATTATTTCTGTCATGTTCATTTTTTTTTTTAATTCATGAAGTAAAACTGTATTAATACAAGATTTATTGCGTCACTGCATCAAACTATTTAATCAAATTTAATCCCTTTTTTTTTTTTTAAAGACAAGATGTTTTCCAGTTGTTCTGAACAGTTTTTATACATAGCAATGAAAATTGGACAATCTCATAACAGATGAAACTAAACCTAAAGCAGCTATGATGTGATTCTCCTAACAAATGAAAAATATTGAGAATTTCATGGACAGTGCAATACTGAATGATCTAAGGAGAAAAAAAAAAGTACTAAATAGTTGCTGCTGAAAGAGACAGATTAAATTTTTGGAACATATGAGGAAAGAAAGCTTGGAAAATTTAACTCACAAGGTACAGTGAAAGCAAGAAAAGCCTATCTGGCCAGTTTGCGAAAATGGAAGGAAAAACAAGCATAACAAAAAGAAGGTCATAAAGAAGTAAGTAATACTGAAAGCAATGAAAGATTGGAAGATGTGGAGAACCATGATCTTTCATGTCACAAAGCAACAAGGTACAGATTGGGAACTTGAAAATCTCTTTAAAATGAAAAGTAGACATATTGTTACATCCTATTTTTAAAACGTCTGTATACTTACATATCTGTAGTCCAAATCCATGAGGAGACTACACAGCTTCAATTCACTCTGGGTCTGTATTGTTTCATGAATGCTGAAAAGACAATAATTTGACACATTAAAGTCTCAAAATGCTGATATATATTTAATATATTTAAATATTACACAAACTGCCTGTTAAATTAGGCATGCAGACATAGTAACAAAAACCTTTCAATTCATAGTTTTCAAATGTTAAAGAAAGAAATGATTTTCAATATATAAGGTCAGATGAAAAAGTATTGGGACTGTTACTGTGGTAATGGAACTAAAGTACAGATTGACCATTAACTCTGTCATACTTCCACACTAATTATAACATTCTTGTTCACTTCCATTTGCTTGAAAGGAAAGTGTGTAGAGTAGGAACCTCCACCAATTCATGATACCTAAGGCTTAAAATGAATTTTTATAAATGAAAAAGCTTTCTTGAAGCTTTCATTGAAAACTAAAGGATTAAATTTACTATTTTCAATAAGCAAATAGTATATATATATATATATATATAATTATATTGATTGGAATCAATTTTTTCTTTTTGTGCTAAAAAGCTGATTAGTGCTCCTTTTTTTAGTAGTATTTCATCACAATGTAATTCTTTGTATTAAAAAATCTTCCAAAAATAAAATATACTTTTCTGAAACTTTATTTGAGGAATATTAGCTGATTTAAAGAATAATTAATCTGATTTGAAAAAAAAAATAATATTTACTAAGTTTTACTAAGTTTAAAATAACACAGAAATGTATTTTTAAAACAAAATAGTAGCTATATTTTTAACTGACATAGCCATGTTTTACATATTTGATGAGGCGATGACAGGTCATGTGATAATTGATGATTTACATTCTCCAAAGAGTTTGCTTTTAACTAATAAAATAAATTTTGAAATTAAATTTAATTTTTCAAAATTTCATGAAATTAAGTGGTGGGGTAACATATGTAAAAAAATATTTTTACTAAGATTTTCTAAAAAACAAAATTTCCAAAATAATTTTATTCATTTGTGAATAAGTCCTGAAAGTTTCATTAAAATCTAACAATTATTTCATTTTTGCAAGAATTTTCAAATCAATGTGATTTTATTGGAAAAAAAGGTGCTAAAACACCAATAGTAAATATTAGGCTAACCACTGAAGTGCTAGAAAGTGCTTGGGAATACCAGGTGCTGTAAGCTTAGAAATGTGGGTTGTGTGATGGATAATGGCTGGGAATTGGAAATTTTAGAACCGAGTTCCAATTGGATTTGTTATATTCACTTATGCACAAATAACCTTGGGAAAGCTATGAATCCACCTCGTCTCACCCCAACTATGGGTTAAATAAGATTTGCATCAGTAAATGATTATCTCTCAAAAATTCTTACAATCTAAAAATATTTTCTGGCTTTAAATAACCTAAAAATAAGCTGTAAAAATGAATCAATCAGACAATTAAAGATGGATGGTTCTCACTAACACCTAGAAAATTCATTTGTTTGAAGCCATTTTTAACAATTAATGAGAGAAGGCAATTGTATGCAGCTGACTATTTAGATATTTCTGAGTGTGTTTGGTGCCATGCACACAAATGGCACATCCATAATAAATATTTCAATCTGAGATGATGATTTTGATTAACATCCTTATCTTAAAGCACAAATTTTGGCTAGTTCACTCTCCCTGACCTCCATGAAGTGAATATTGAACCTGGCAACTTTTAAGATCTTTAAAAAGTTTAAATTAGTTGATATTACAACATCCACAGGACAGGATTCTAAAAAAGCAATTAGGACATGTTTAACTTTTATGTGTAACATTTTGCAAAAACAAGTGCTGTTGATAAGGAAGATAGCAGAAACTAACCTTGGGACTCCAATACACAAAACATGGGTGATGTTCTGCTTTTTAAATGTATCCATCATGAAGGAAATAGTTGATTTGGTAAACAGGTATTGCTGTGGTAAGAAAAGCAAGAAACAAGCCTCAAAAATACAGAATAAAACAAGATTTGTACAGTAATAATAATAATTCCAATATCTATAAATTCTATGCTTAGACACACACACACACACACAAGCAACGTAATGTAGCTTCTCCATGCCTTTTCTCTAATTATTTTCATGGTAATTGTTCTGAGGAACTTTCTTCTATAGTTCCTAGACTAAATGAATTTAAGTGCAGTACTAGATTGGTAGCAAAGTCTCATCACTTTACAATTGAAATAGCTAGATTTAACTGTAAGTTTTACACTAACAGTTTCTTTTCTCATACTTCTCACTTGTGGAACTCTCTTCTGGCTTCTTGCTTTCCAGTCAACTTTGACCTTCAAAAATTTAAATGCAATGTCAATCATTACATTCTGTCTCCTTAATTCTTGTTCTTTTATTGTTTTTTCTCCTTAATAGTGTTTTTTTTCCTCATATTCTCTAACACTCAGTAACCCCTTGCATCTTAGTGGCTTTATTGTCTTATTTGGGGGTGAAATGATTAAAAAAAATAATTTTTCTCCCTATTTGGAGAACTTCGTATAACCTTGGGATTATGGCCATATCACATCGAAAACCAGTTTTGTCCACTCATCAAAGTTAAGCAGTGTCAAGTCAGGTCATTACCTGAATGTGACAGCTTGGATATGTCAGTGATATAATGGATAATGGCTCAGGTTGGCTGGTTAGATTTTGTTTAATGGTGTGTCAACCCTGATGGGTCATTTTATACCAACCAGGTAAATACATACACTTTTCTTTTTTCCAATAGTTGGAGGGGCTCTATGTTTTTCAGCCAACTTTAATCAGCAAAAAATCCTGATTACTTTCCTCTGTTGTTGCTCCTTAGCAATATTCCCATTTCTAACTCTTTCACAGCCAGTAACACCAGCATTTCAGTGGCTTTACTGCTTTGTTTGGGGTGAACTCAATTTAAAGAAAGAAGCAAAAGGAGAAAAGAAAAAAGAAAATTACTTACTGAAAGGAAAACTGCATTTTTTTTTTTGTATAAAAGATTTTACAGAATAAGTCATTGTGGTGCATATAATGACAAATTGTTGTTTTGAATCACAGCTTGTAGATCTGCTTGGCAAGTCACTTTGACATGGTGTAATGGTTAGCAAGTTTGTCTTGCTAGATTAATTACAACTGATCCTCACTGCTTTGTACTTGCGGCTTTGTGCAACATCATAACTATGCTTAGAAAATCACAGTACCTCTACTAGCTGGAGGAATGTCATTGTCAAAACAAAGAAAGAGATAGAAACATAAAAACTGATCAGAAGTGGTGGTTGCATTTTTAACTGGTCTTCCCCACACAGCCATGTTAAACCAATAGAGTCCTGAAAGTGTGGTCAACTCCAGGATGATCTTTTGATGATTCTGTTGGCAGCAGAGTCATCGTTTACACAACAGGCAGCAGATGAAATATTTTGGCATCTGACAAATCTCCTCATTCAGCCGTCAATCACTTTTGTTTTAATCTGTTAAAAAATTCATAGTAGCTGAATCCCACAATGAAATAAACAAATCACAAGTCCAAACTCAAAGATCCAGGAACAGAAGGAGATGTTGAAATCACGAATCACAGATCTAATGTCAAAAATCCAACGCACAAGCCAACAGATGAGGTAGAAAAATAAAAATGACTAATAAAATATTAATAGAAAATAACTCTCCTACTTCGAGAACACCAACCGCTTTTATTGACGGAACAATTTTTTCATTGGTTGACGGTTGGAGAAGATACACAATATTAGCATATTCAAGAAGCATTTATGGCCACAGCTGTGACTGACTTGTTTCTATTTTGGTTATTTTGTCTTCGGCCTATTGCACAGAACCCACTTGCCCTTTTTCATGTTAAGTGACTTTCTCTTTCAGCATACTCTCTCCAATTGATCTCATGATCACACTCAAATTAACAACTACTATCTTCTCACCTGATGAATCACCTTCCAAATGGACACAAGACATATTTCCTCTAGGCTGAGTGTTGTTTTCTTTTGAAGGCATTTCAAGACATCTCTTATTTTGATCAGTCCTTTATCATTAGAGGACTCACTGTCAATATCACTTGTTGATGTGTTTGAACCAACAAAGGGGTACAGATCCTTCACATGGCGCAACATCACATCAATACAAATCATGCATAGGCTTCTAATCCCTGCAACACATCCTACTTGATATTGAGTCGTACATCAGTTTAGACGAGGTTTTACCCCCACACCGTCCCCTAACCCATATGTCAATCTTCCACAGTTTTGCTTTGGTGGAGGTGTTTTATCAATACTTAGTGCAGAGACTCTGTAACGGTAAATCCCTTTAGTGGGCACAGTGGAAAGTGACACATTATCTTTGGGTGCAATCTTGTGCCAATATACAGCTTCCATCACTGAGCTTTGTTTCCTTGCGGCAATTCACTTTATGCTTTGGTGGCAACATTCAATTATCCCGCTACCAGAGGGGACGTGCACACAGTGGAAATGGATATGGATTCCCCAACCCATCTAAAAACTCACTGAATAGATTACTATGGAAAGCAGTGTCATTGTTGGCGAGAAGGTCAGCAGGAGGCTTCCATTCCAAAAATAGGGCCTTTAAATGGTTGATGACGTTGACTGAATCTTGTCAGTGCAGTACATCTGATCTGGCATATTTGGGAAGGATATTAGAATAATCAAGAACCTTTACAGGCAGCAAACCGCCTGCATATGGATAGAAAATGAGTTCAGCAGATATACAGAAAAAAAAAAAAAAGATTACTGAACTGTTACGTGATATCTGTCCTCCAGTGAATGTTGGATGATCTCCTGAAAGATGAAGAGACTTGAAGTAACAGAAATGTGGTTCTACAGAAGGATGCTGAGGATACCTTTGACTGAATATATGAGCAACAACAAGGTTTTAGAGAAAATGGAAACAAAAAGGAAATTTATACTTAACATCAGGAAAAGACAGTTGAAATTTCTGAGGCACATAATGAGGAAGGAGGGCTTGGAAAATCAGCTTGAGGGACAGAGGAAAGCAAAGCATAACATACTTGATGAGTTTAAGTAAATAGATGGTAGAGCAGGGTTTAGGAGAAATAACGAAAAGATAAATTTATTTGTAGAAGGTAAAACGGCTTACTTCCTGAAATAAAATGTGCTTGTATGTGTCTCGCATGTAAAATATGTGAAAGAAAATATGGCCACTTCAAAAGCTGCAATTTAAGAACAACTTGATCTTAGAGCTCAAATTTGCAATATGAATTTATGGCCAATCAAATTTCTGAGCTTCAGCTACTCAATAAAATGAGCATGAATGAGAGAACATCAGAAAGGCTGTAGACGCTGACAAGTTGAATGGTTGTGTGTTATATGTGGAGTTTCACGATAGTCTCATAGATTGTGATCAAAAACAAGACAGAATACAACTGGTACTCCAAACAGCCATACTTTATTTGCTACATTATTAAAAGCTACAAAGGTTGGGAAATTGTGGAGAGTCATGATCGCCTACGTTTTGAGGGGTCACAGCACATAAAGAAGGGTAAAAAATGACAGGTCCTCAGTCTTTTTTTGTCGTTAGACTTACTTTTTCTAAGTCACAAAATTATTGCTTGTTTTTCTAGAAGCTTCTAAAAAATTTCATAATATTAAAATATGGCAAAAATACACTTACAGCAAATACTTTGTCTTTGCTCTGGGAGCAAAACAATTTTGTTGGTTGGTCAAGCAGTTCATCTGTAACTGACCTCACAAGAGTATGAGAACTACTGTTATGGTGTTTTCGTTCAGTTGGCATAAGTAGTAGAGCACATGTCTGGCACATTATCCGGTCAATAACTGAACATTCACGAAATATCTTCAGCCTAGAATAACAAAAAAGGACATTTAAAATATTTCTTTAGAATAATAATGATTTCAATGGTAGGCAGTTAAAAAATCCTTTCAAGCTGAATTAAATAAGGAAAAATAATTATAACATCTTTTATTATTTACTCTCAGCGTTTTGGGAGTTGCATGACACAAGGCTCAGTGGATAAAAGTGTTGAAGTAATCCTGTGACTTGACCCAAAGAGTTATGAGATCAACACATGGTCACAGCAGAGGTGAACAAAAACTTGGAAATCCAAGTTACTAAAGGGGAATAACTAAAACTGAGATATCCAAAAAAGGCATGGCATGTAGAACTAGAACAATCTCCCCTGTAGACTAAATAAAGGGTTTGGTTTGAAAGTCCAATGTGTATCATCTGAAGAATGCCAGAGAGTACAATGCTCGAAACATTGTGAATATGACAATAAAGATGAGGACAACAGTCCGAACAATGTAAATAGTTACAATGCCTCATCTCAGAAATATAGACTGTGAATATGACAATAAAGATGAGGACAACAGTCTGAACAATGTAAATAGTGTAAATAGTCACAATACCTCATCTAAAAAATATAGACATATCTTTTATTATCTCCCCTTTGAGAAGTTGTGCTGCCAGTACCAAAATCCAAGACAATATGAGGTTTACTACCGTGGTAGTGTTTAATAAAACTTTGAAAACATTTTGATACATGTGTACAAAAATACCAAATTAAAATTACTCTATATACATAGTTTTTGTATTACTGAAAATGCATAAATTTTACCCCCTCCTGAAAAAAAATCACATGTGGATAGTGTAATCAGTCATCAAAAATGCATGAATTTTAATCTTTTCAAAAGAAATTACCCGTGTATAGTGCAAACCCCTATTTTTCTGCATAAAATAGTGATCATAAAAACCCACACTATACTTGGGTACATACAGTAATTTTGTATCCCAGAAAGTCAGACAGAAACTAAATTACCTTTGCATGAATTTTGTGTGGGTGAAGCGTGGTTGAAACTGTTTGTTAATGACTTTCCTTGCTTCCAATCGAACTGCAGACACTTTCTCATCTTCCAATTGATAAAAATTGCACTCCTTTCGATCACGGCATGCAGAGCATGCATAGAATCTTTTTGTATTCTTTCCTTTTTCACCATAACGGGCAAACAGTAGAGTTGGGCCTGAAAATTAATAAAGGAAAAAAAAAATCATCAATGCCTCCAGAAAATCATTCTTTTATTTTTGTATATATTGGACATTGTTCTTGTAGCTAGGCTTTGGGAACAAAAATTGAAGAAGGTAGACCATATCTACTCTAGAAAACATTAATGGCCAACAAGATTTCTATAGCACAGTGGTTCTCTGGGCTGTTTTCGGAATTAAAATTTGTTCACGTCTCACCAAATTTTATGTGATAAAAAGTACATTTAAAAATACAAAAACAGAGGTTTAAAGGGAAATAACCTCAGATTTGATTACCATTGATAACTCTCTACTGCAATTTGTGGAGCTTAATTATTTTTAACACTTGATATAATGCAAAAATATCACAATGTTAAAATTGATCAATAATTATTTATAACTATTTATACTGTGACTCATACATGCAATTACAAGTAATCTATAATAATATTTTAAATTTTGAAATCATATTTATTTTGGCATATGAATTTTTGAAACTGTTTCTAAATCTTTGATTGTCTTTCAATCATTCCACCTCATCTGCTATCCTATTCTGCCACACCGTTTTGGAACCACTGCCCTGACTGTGCACTAGCTTTGTTTTTGGAGGTATTGAAAGTTACAAGCCAGTTTTTATCTCAATGAGTTGTTAGAACTTGGTCAGAAGAGAGATCAGTTTTCAGGCACTGGTCATCTAGATTTTGGGAGGTGCACCCATAAACAGTGGCATTATTTATATATATGTAATGGGTAATTAATGAGAGGGGACATTACTGCACATGCCGTTCATTTATGTATTGTGTGTCTGTCACATTCAAATCCATTATACATTAAAATTTTCTTAAAATTTGAATATTCATCTGTAGAAAATATTTGAATAGTTTAGAAGTCTTCTGAGGATGATTCAATGAGTGAAGCCAGATGGATTTTTTGAAATGGTTTCTAAATCTTTGTCTTTCAATCATTTCATCTCACCTGCTATCCTCTTCCACCTATGAGTCATGCCGAACCATTTGGGAACTATAGCATAATCAAGTTCTGCTTCAAGAGTTTCAGGTTTTATGGAATTGTCTCTTTTCATCAGCCCTGGTTCTTCAGTTTTCTTAAAGAAAGGAAGATCACCTGGAAAACCATATCTCCCTGCCAGCATGTTCTGATGCCCAATGAGTAATCGTTGATGCCAATTTACACCTGCTTGCCAAGATAACTAATGCTATACCACTTGACCAAAGTTAAATAGGGACACATTTAAACCAACATGGAATTACCATCCTCAATGTATAATATACTCTTTGAGAGCATGAATGGGATATGTAACTGGCATTGCAAAAAGAGTCTAAAACTAATGGAAGCCCTTATTATAAAAAATAAGAAACCATCCCTTAATGTTAATTATTACCATAGCTACAATGTACTGTCTGTATTTGAAAATTAAAACTATATCTACTTTTAGAAACTTTTATACCAAAATAATCCATTACTTCTTTAAGAAATTGCTTTGTTTACATTTGGATGCAAAAACTTTTTGAGAGGTCTATTACAAGAGAAGTTTTGTTTAAAGGCACTATTTCAGCCTGACCTGATCAGGTAAGTTCTTTGTAGCTCAGTCAGTTAGAGTGTGTCAGATCTAATGGCAGCTCCCTCTGACCAGGGAGATGCAGGTTCAAATCATACCAAATGGTAAAAAAATTTTTCTTTAATAAGATTTCTCAAACATTCAGGCTGGTAGGTGAAATAAATATGATGTTTAATAAATAAAACAGTGTTCCTACTCAAATAAGAGTATCTACTAAAAATAACATCTTTAAATATAATTTCGTACCACAAAAAATAATCCTTGAAAATAGCTAACAGTTTAGCTGAAAGCATACAGAAACAAACTTTTGGGTAATTTTTACAATGATGAGGCCCAGAAAAGAGCATACTTGTATGTAAACAAGAGGGACTATAATAAACAAAAAGTACCTTGTCAGTATTGCTTAGCAAAACATGTATTCAAAAGGGATTGATGTTCAAATACACTATTTATACTGTGCTTAAATATTTTACACACACACACGTGTGTGTGTAAAATATGTAAAAATCTATGACAGGATCTCAGAAATCTCTGAGAATGACTTCAGCTGTAACATAAAAGAAAATTGGAAAATATATCAAGATGACTGTTTCACTTTGTGGAATTAAAGTCTGGATAAACTAAAGACATTCCAAACATTCATTAATAATATAAATCCTAACATCCAATTAGCTATGGAGTACAGCAACAAAAAACTTCCCTTTTTAGACATATTAATAATAAAAACAAACACTAAACTTAGGTACCTCCACGAAATCGCTAAAAAAAAGAGCATAGCTTGATGAAAAAGACGCCAACCTTGCCGAAAACAAAATTTTATTGTCTAAATGCTTATGTTATTATTAAGAGGAAAGACCAAAGTTTTTTTTAATTATTTTAAAAAATTTTCCTTCTTTTTAGAACATTCTAAATTTTGATTAAAAAATCTTTTTCTATTTGTATCAGCGAACGAGTAAATAACATAGACAATTTTTAGCACTTTTTTTTTGACACACATTAATTTGAAAAATCGTGAAAAAATAGAAATAATTATCGGATGTTAATAAAACTTTCAGGAACTATTCACAGATGATCGAAATTATTATAAATATGTTTTTTTATGAAAGTCATGGTAGAAATATTTTTTTAAATATTTATTACCCCCCCATAACTAATTTTATGAAAACGCTAGAAATTGATCGATCGGTTTTAGTGATTACAATAATTAAAAGCACAGGGCTTTGAGGAATGCAAATCATGTGTTTTTTGTTTTTTATTGATACGCAGTACCTGAAAATCAGCTCTGAATTGTAACATACAAAACTCAATAAAACAAAGATATTATTTAATTTCAAATGCTTTTATTTGCTTTTTATGAATATGGACAATATTTTCTGAAAGCAAAAAAATTTTTTCGATGAAAAATGAATTTTTTAATACAATTATTTGTTATTTCATTAATTATAATAGATTTTACATTTAAGTTGTTAAAATATTATAAAATTAGTTAAAAGTCATTGGCTTTCATAAGTGTCCTTATGAGATAGATCTTTTTTTAGCAGCGTTGTAAATTGTATCATTTTGACTAATCAGAAGATCCCCAGTAATTAAGAAATGTAATTTTGTGCTTATAATCGAGCTGTAATTATAAAATACGGAAGACCAACCAGATTATAATTAAGTTGCGTTATTTGAGTTAAGCATTGTTCTCCGCTGTTAAGGCCTTTACTTTTTCGAAACACGTGTGGAGAAGTTAATTTGATTTTTCAATTTCAACTGAGAAGGGTACCTACAAGTATCAGTATCATCTTATGAAATTTATATGATCTTATTTTATATTAATCTCAGTTACGACATTTTTTCATAAATGAAAATCAAAATTAATAATAAAATGAATGCAAATACAAATAACAGTAGAATGTAATAAATGTACATAAAATTATAGTATTTTATGTACAATTCTGATAAAATTTCATAAGAAAGGTACCTATAAATTAATTAGATACCTTTCTTAAGAAATATGAAATTTAATGTCACTCTTAACAGTTTTATTTTAATTTCTTTACAATATATTTCCCATAAACGTAAAGGTGAAAGCTAAGTACAAAAAAAAAAAAAAATTAGACCGCTGAAAGTTTTTTTTGCTAAAAATAACGGGGTAAATAATTTGTTCAATGAAATGTAAATTATTTCACTTTTCTCCTTCCAGAGAACAAATTAGCCTCATGGAATTCGTAAATATATCATTCATCACATGTCAAGAGACGCAAAAGTTTATGACCTGCTTTGTTTTATTTTCAAATTACATCTTTTTGGCACAAAAAGCTAAGTTAAGTTTGGTTCAAAATATTTTAAATAAACATTATAATTTCTGATTTTCTTAAAATAAGTTTTGAAAAAAATGATAATTGATATTTAAAAAATTTCAAAGTCAGATTTCCAGTTTTTTTTAAAATCGAAAAAAAAAAATATATATATGGTCAATTTTGCTGACTCAAAAAAAACTAGATTTTTAACGAAAATTTCGGACGTGCTAGGAACGATTAAAAAATGGAAAAAAAAAATACCCCAAAATACTTTTTGACCTTTCCTCTTAATAATAACAAACATTTAGACGATAAAATTTTGTTTTCATCAAGTTTATGTCTTTTTCATCATGCTATGCTCTTTTTTTTAGCAATCTCGTGGAGGTACCTAAGTAAGCAAAATACTCTGTGGTGTATTTCAAACAGAAATTATATTGATCTGAATACATTTTTTTTCAGTAAAATTGATAAAAATCAGTCATTTTTGACACCTTTGTAAACAAAGCTAATTCTCAGTTTTAAAATCTTGTAAAAATAAAATATATATTTCTGAAATATTATTTGAGGAAAATTAGCAAATTTAAAGCTAAATTAATCTGAATTGAAACAAATATTACTTACTTATAGCATAAAATGTTGTATACAAACATTTCTTAACTATGGGGTCTTGTTTTTCTGATGTGTTAATTGATTTATTTAAATCTGAATGTGTTCATAGTCAAGTATAGTAGAGCAGACAATAAAATTTATTGGGAGGACAACCCTTAAAACACGTGACTTTTTAATAATAGATTTATCATTTGTACATCCATACTTAAGAAATTCTGCACATAATTACACATACAAAAACAAATCAAAATTCTTTTTAAAATATTCAGGGTCATCAAATTGTAATAAGCTTTACAATATATGGTTAGTAAATATAGTTTTACTTAATAACAATATTTTGTAAGAATTATCACATTGAAAATGAATATTAAAAGATTTAAAAACTTTACAAATTATTCAATCTAAAATTGTAAAGAATGAAAACAAATCTTGTCAAAATTCATTTTTTCTTCAGACAAAATTGGTTATAATATATATTATTCATAAAAGAAATTAAAAGCTTCTCTAATAAAATTATATCTTAGTTTTATTGAATTTTTTATTTTCTGATTCAGAACAGATTTTCAGTAAGATGGGGGTCTGATTTTGCAAAAAAAAATTTGGTGATTTAATTAATTTAAATTTGGTGAATTCTGCTTTGAACTAATATAGTCACTAAAAAAAAATTATCATATTGAATTTTTCAAGTTTTCCATAAAATTAAGTAATGGTCTGAAACACATGTAAAAATATTTTTACCAGGATTTGCTTAAAAAAATTTCAGAAATAATTTCATTCATCTGTAAAAAATTTCAATAAAATGTTTGCGTTTTCGTGGAGGTACCTACATAAAAGCAATTAAAAGCCTTTTTAATTAAATAATGTATTAATTTATTGAAGATTTTTATTTTACAAATCAGAGCAGATTTTCTGTAACTAGGGCCCTGTTTGTTAAAAAAAAAAAAAGATTTATTATCCAAAGACTTTTCCATGGAACAGAAAATAAAAAAAAAATTAAATATTTTTTTTGTCATGATTTTCTAAGAAAGAAACTTTTAAAAAAGGCTTCTATTTATTTGTGAATTAATCCTGAAAGTTTCATTATTAAAATCTGATAATTTATGTGATTATCCTTTTAATTGCACTGCTTACATTCATCACTTCACGTATTGTTCATTTCAAACCAAGTTTTTTTTTTTTTTATGTCTGGTGTTCAACGCGTTGCCAATCAACAGGTTTCTGAAGGCATCACTATTTTGAAGATTGAAGCACAGTTTTAACAATATTGATAATTGCATCGACTGGTGCCGTAACTATGGTTTGCTAGCAGTCAGTATGGAATGCATTGCTTGCAACAGCCGTTGTAAGGAACAAACCTATTCGCAATCGGTAAACTAAACAACAGGATCAGGATAAAGCTTTGAGGGTGCGAAAGCGTAATAGCTCCAAGTTTTGTAGGGCCATTTTTTTTCATCATGTATGCTCATTTTTTAGTTAATCATTCTTTATTAACTTTTTTAATTTGAAGATAAATTTTGTTAGGTAAGTAAGAATATGCTTTTTAGTTTTAATCAAATGTATATTTTTACTTTTAGGGATAATAATTTATTTTTACTCAGAATTTCATAGCAAGATAAAAATCTTCGTTTTAACATTTAGAAAATTAAACGGTATTCGTGATCTGGGGTGTTTAATCGATAGTAATACGTAAACAAATTACACAGTAATTTGAAAAGAATTATTTCTTCGGCAGGTTTTCGGAAGTCCGTGATGGTACCTACAGGGTGACCCGAAAGTATTGTCACCCCCCACTACGAAAAAGTAATGAAAGCAATAGAACATTAATACAAAGCACATGTACTGGATTCATTTTATTCACTTTCATTGACGTTGTCACACATCGAGAAGGTCTGTATGAACACCTTCATTTTCGTGGCACAAAAAAATGGGTAAAAAATTGCAGATTAGGACTCAGAAACTAGATCGTTAAAATAGAAAATTATATTATGTCGGAGTGACAAGACTTTTTGGACTACCCTATAAACTACCACAAAACGTAGATCATTATAGTTAGAATTCTTTGTTAATAGTAATCACATCTAAATCCATAACAAATATTCAGATTCGAATGTGATTTAAGTTTTTTAGCTGATAATTTAACTAAATAATAAAGTATTTTTTGCAGTACATCATGCCTAACCACGTGGCCGGAAACTTTGAAGGTAATTTAACATTAGAAATCATAAGTAGGTTCCATAACCGAGTTAAACAAAGTCACGCATACAAATTTGAAAATAGTTCTTTTTTTTTTCTTTCGTTCTAGTGACTTACCGTGTGGACAAGAAGGGACTTTACTTGGATCTACATCGAAGATAACATCCACGTTGTTTACGTTAGCAGCCATGTTAGCACGGAAAAGGAATAAGGCTTAACTGCAGCTACAAAAAGACGGTCATCATTCGTGGGTACCTCAAAGGGTTAACTTTTACACCCTCCTCAGATACATAAAAACTGTTAAGTAAAATTAGTTTATTGGTTTTTCTGCTAATATAAGATTATCTGTCAGCTAGAATAAAATATGATAGTTTTTATGTGATATATATATATATAAAACAATATCTGATAGATTATTGTTTGTTTTTCTCCTAAAGATATTAACCCCAGAAACCTGCTTTTATCATAGATTCATGAAAATAAATATTATTATTACTTTAGACACGCACACAAAAATTTATATATAAATAAAACATAAATTGTAAAGTAAATAAGTAAGTATCGCGACAGACATCCTAAAAAATGAAAATAATATTTTAAATAATTTAATGTCTTATTTATTTCCATAAAAATACATAAAACAATTATACTGTCACTTTGCCGTGTCCATAAAAATAAGTAAAAATTAATTATAATGTCAAAAGTAATTATAATAAAATAATTATAACAGTTATACCTATCATCATTTCACTTTTTCTAAACCAATGAGAATCGACACCACTTTTTTCTCTACACACACGCACAGGTAACATTCTCACTATCGGACAAGCAGTCGACACGGACAGGCCGTCAACATATGCGTCAACGAAAATTTCGGTTCGTTTCACTTTTTCAGGCCATAATAGTAACATTTATCATTTAGCACTAAACAAAAAACCGCGGTAAGACCCCCCAAAAAAAAACATGACAGAAAGACTATACTTATTCTTTATCATATTATTCTGTCGGATTCCATCTATATTTGATATACATTTGGCCCCAAACTCAAAATTTTACTCAGTATTACTGTCTCTTGTTTCTCTAACACCACACAACAACCAGATAATAAATAATACTTGTTTTGTTGTTCCCAAGTCTTGTAGTTTTTACGAGTATATATATATATATATATATATATATATATATATATATATATATATATATATATATATATGAAGAAATATAGTCTTAAGATGTGCTATATTTATGGGATAAAATGCTCAATATCAGAGATAGAGCGTGTAAATATAGTGAACATAGAAGTCAACACTCCTAGGTGACAGTCAAGACTAACGTTTTCTATATTTTAGATGCAATCCTCAGGCCACCTGAGGATTGCATCTAGCATGAAACAGACTGTCGCCTGTAAGTGTTTATGTTCACATATATATATATATATATATATATATATATATATATATATATATATATATATACGCACGCACACACACACACATATATATATAGTGGGTTTTGTTTTTAAATGTTTCTAGTTTTCTATTGGCCGAAAAACATTTCGCATCAAGTGTGAAATTTCATGAGTTTTGTTTTGGATCCGCTTTTGCCTGTGTGTTACTGTTAAGCAAAGTTTGTAAATTCGAGTCTTTTTAATTTCTAACAAAATCAATGTGTCAGTGCTTAGCATTTGAAATTTTAAATCTAGATCTTGCTTTGTTCACTACTTATATATATATATATATATATATATGTTTACACACACACACACATACACAAATATATATATATATATATATATATATATATATATATATATATATATATGTGTGTGTGTGTGTTTGCTCAGAATTATAACTACCCTACAAAAGTAAATTTAAAAGATAATACCCTAAAAATCTAATCCATATTAAAAGAAAATAAATTTCCGTATGTAAGTGAAGTTTTTAGGCATTTTTAAAATATTGGCACTGTTACAAGTTACAACAATATCAATAATGAAGATGATGATTGTAAGGACTTCTGGTCCCACTAGAGAATGCTGGGACAGATCCAGTGGGCAGTTTAAATAAATGAGTTGTTAAGTTTACCACGTGTCGTGTCGTCTTTGTGTTGCTTCGACTTTTCAGCGGTTTGTCTCATATATCTTTCTACCCTAAGCCCAGTGGAACGGACACGTTTGCTCTTTGAATCGCCATTGCAGGCGAAAAATGTAATAAAAATATAAAAAAAAAAATTAAATTTCTTAAAAATCCAATATTTGTCCTACACATGTGTTTCGAAGTCAGTTAGTAAAGTTAAGGAATAATCAACTGAATTTTGAAAATGTAATGTTTAGTTTTTGCTTAAAACGTAATGAAAATAACGTTCATTTACGCACGCCCCGGGAAGAGAAATAATACAAAAACAGTTTTTGAATAACAAACAATATTTTGATTTATATGGCATAAAAGATACAATGCATTATGCTGAAATGAGTAAAGATTTGTGAGTGAAATCTTGATGATGTTTTGTTATTTTAATTGTGTGTAAACTCTTATTTTTGGTGTTTGGAGTTATGGTGCGTGAGTTTACTTGAAGAAATATTTGTTGTAATTGTGGTGATGTAAGTTTTCCAGAGTCAGTGAAAAAATAATTCTATTTATGAGATAATTAAACAGTGTGGAATATAAATTTCCAGCGTAAATTGGGGAAAAAAACTGAATTGTTGTCTTTCTTTGACCGTAATGTTGTCAAAAAGTAAATACATTGTGGATGAAATAATGTTTCGTAATTGAGAACTTTGTTGTGTAATGATAATGTTCTGTGGTTGAGAACTTTGATGTTAATTCACTTACAGGAACGAACGGAAGCTGCTGTGTGACAGACTTGAGTGAGTGAATTCTGAAAGTTTTGTTTTTATGTTATCAAAGTAACTTTAAAACTTCAGATAGTTGAGCGTCATAGATTCGTTTGACAACTTGATTCTCACTGAAGTTGAATAACTAGATGTTAATTCACTTGCAAGAATGAACGAAAGCCGCTGTGTGAATGACTTGAGTGAGTGAATGTTCTGGAAGACTGAGATTATGTTAATGGGCAACTTTTAGTCTCAGAATGTGTGACGTAATTTTTAGTAGGCGATTGCGTTGCTGTCATGATGTTCACTGGCGGGATGTGCTGGCGTATCATATTTATTTGTTAATCACGTGATAGGCTCGAGAACACGTTTTCTTAATTTAGGCGGTTCTCTGGTTTGAACACTTATGCGTAGGCGTAAATATGACCTTGGTATTTATTAACCAATCAGAAAAGAGCTATTGTTGTACCTTTAGCTTGGAGCATAAAAGTGTTTAGCTTGCACAAGATTTAGAACTTGCAAGTGAAGATACACAAAATGCAATTTTAATATTTATTGTTCAATCAGGACGTTGCCAAATAACTGCATTATGGAAATTAGGTGTGATACACTGAAATGTAGATGTTAGATTCTACAAGACCAACTGTAATCCCTCTCTTAAAAACGTGAGGTGGCGTGGTAGTTTGTGTTTTAGTGTTTCTGAATATATTTTGCTCTACATCTCAGACTTTGGGGAATTTTGTATTCTGATATTTTGAGCGCCTTTTTATTACACCTTTTAAGCGCGTATTTTCAGACTACTTTTACAATATATCATCTTTTATTTTATATTATACTTTAAATTGATCTATCTTCTATTTATATGATTTAGGGCTATAATCTAATTATAATATGATGTAGGTTTATACTATAGATTTATCTTTTATCTATTTATGATATGATGTAAAGCTATATACTCTCTACGTATATTCTGTCTACTTATGATATGGCTTAGGTCTATGCAATCTATTATTTTGTATCTATTATATATCGTACGTCTATACTATCTATCATCTATCTATGATATGACGTAGGTCTACACTATTTATTGTCTATTTATGATATAACGTAGATCTATACTAGCTATTTATTTTCTGCGTATGATATGATGTAGGTCTATACATTTTATATTTTATTTATGGTATGACGTAGTACAATATTATCTATTTTTCAATATCACGAAGGTTTATATTATCTATTTATTTTCCATCTACTTATGATATACTGTAAGACTATACTATCTATTCATTTTCTATTTATGATATGACGTAGGTTGATACTAATCTATCTTTTAATAAATTCACACCAAGCAAGGTGATAACGCCACTAAGATGCAAGAGGCTACTGAAAGTGAAAGAGGAGGAAAAGTCTCTAGAAACCCAATAATAATTTTAATTTCAGTGTTTATTTAGAGACGTTTGAAGTATAGATTTGAAGTAAACTTTAGAAGGAACGGCAGACCCAATCCTAAGCAGTAAACAAGGGTTAAAAGTCTATTCCTGTTTAAAAGATCAAGGAGGAGTTTGAAGTAGGCGATAGGTCAACCTATCTACTAATATTGCTTATCTTCTATCTATTTATATGAGTCTATACTATTTATCTTCTATTTATGATATGATGTATGATAATACTATCTATTTATATTTAATTTATGATATGACGTAGGTCTATACTATCTGTTAATCTTCTGTTTATGATATGACGTAGAGCTATACTATCTATTTATCTTCTATTTATGTTATGACGTATGTCTATACTATCTATTTACATTCAGTTTATATGACGTGGGCATACACTATTTATCATCTTTTGATTATATGATGTAGATCTATACTATTTATTTACATTCAGTTTATATGACTTGGGCATACACTATTTATTTTCTATTGATTATATGATGTAGATCTATACTGTCTATTTACATTCAGTTTATGATATGAGGTTTGTCTATAGTATCTATTTATCTTCTATTTATGATATGACGTAAGTCTATACAATCTGTTTATATTCAATTTATGATATGACGTGTTTATACTATCTATTTATCTTCTATTTATGATATGATATAGGTCTATAGTATCTATGTATCTTCTACGTAAGATATGACGTATGTCTATACTATCTATCTTCTATTTATAATATGACGTAGGTCTCTAGCATCTGTTCATATTCTATTTATGTTATGAAGGGGTTCTATACTAACTATCTTCTATTTATGAGATAGCATAGGTCTATGCTATTTACATTCATTTTATGATATGACGTGGGTTTATACACTATCTTCTATTTATGATATTATGTTTGTCTATATTATCTAT